TTAAAGCAAAAAAATGCTCGTTTCCAAAACAACAACAATAAGTTTTAAATATAGGAAAGGGTTCTTTTTAGTTCAACAACAAAAACATAAGGAAGGGTTTGAATGAGAATCAAATTATTTTTTATTCATTCAACATTTCAATCAAGTTAATTTGTGTTTAACCCCACTCGTTATTAAATTTTCAAAGAGTTTGTAAACGATGGAATTCTATCTAATATCAATATTTTATCTTTGAATACTCTTTATTGGTTAACGAGCATTTAAAAAAAATCTAAATTGACCAACGTCTTTCTTCAAAAATTGATATAAAAAGCGCGTCTATTTGAAATCTCAGACTAACCATTTCCCCTTAATCTTTACATATTAATTGATTGATAGGGAGTAAAGATGGTTTCTTTAGCTTCGTAGACTTAGATTTTATATTAAAACTGTTTAGCATGTAAATTGCTCCATAATATTGATGTTTAACAGATAACTGGCCCCGACTATAATTCATAAAATCTTATGCTTTCATCAACCAGCAACGCGTCAAATTATAGTAAATAGAGGCAAAAGTATTCAAATTTTCACATTTGATGGATGAATGCCATTCAAAGTCATGGTCTTTTAAACATCAGATCCATTACCAAAATATGTTTCTCAATGACTCTCATTCACTTTTCTATTCATTCTTTTTCTCTCTCTTATGAATCCCTTGTCGTCTGATACACCTTAAAGATTTCCTTTTTTCATGTACATACTATTGCTTTTCATTCAAAAGGATGGGAGAAGAAAAGAAATGCAAAATATATAAAAAATTCAGCAACAAGGATGGAATGTTGGGGGATTTTGTAACAAGTAAAATTTTTTCCAGCTAAAGATGTCCCATCATCTATAGGTAGACGAAAACAAGATGCTTTTTAATCTTAGAAATCTAAAAGAGTGACTTAATGTACTCAATATGTCTCGAATTTGTCAAAGGCAATTTAAATTTATTGACAGGTATGGATTCTATTGGAATGTTTTTTTTTTTGGAATTTTAAGAGGAAAAAAGCGTTGCTATATTTTACATTTCTTACTGTTTCCTGTCCCAATCTCATTCTTCTTATTTCTCTCAAGTGATTTTTCACTTTTCCAGCTCCTTCTGTTCATGTTAACCATTATTTATTTCCCATTCTCTCCTTCTGCTAAAGTCGTCATCATCATCAGTATCATGATGCATGTATACATCTACATATTATTATACAAATTATTTCGTTCACTTAAAAGAACCTTTTGTGAATGTCACGTTTGGGTATTAAAAAGGAAGTGCAGAAGCAAAGAATAGAAAAAGGAAAGAAAAATCTCGAGGCGATTTTTGTTTAAAAAAAATGTCAAAAATCTCTTTAATTTGATGCAGACGGAGGAGTTCATTCTTAAAATATGGCCAATCTTGAAAATGTTGTGCAAGTTAAGTCTGCATAGACCTCAATTAGGATAGGAAGAAAGATTTTGAAGGGATTATTAAACACTCGTTGATGTTTTTGATGGAGAGCATTTTTCTGTATTTTGCAAAGTAGAAGACAGCGTCTGAGACAAAATATGAGACAACAATTTAAGTGTAATTATGCACTTGAAAAGAATGGCTGATGATAAAAAATGCTGCGCAATCATTTAAAATATATCAGCAGAAGATGATAGAAAAAGAAAGGAGAACATTCTTTTATGATTCATTCATTCGAATTTATCTCAAGCGAAGAGAAGGCGAGCAGCACCAACAAAAAAGAAACTTATTTTCGTTATTTTTTTTTTTTCATCTACTTGAAAGAAGTAAAATGAAAAATTCATTTGAAACCATTAAAATAATCTCGTGGTTATTTTTCAATAGAATGAATTGCTGGCAAATGGAAAGTGTAAAATGAAATAATTTTTCTTTTCTTTAAAATAGATTTATGAGAGCGTCATAAGATTACTATTGGGTGAAGAACTTTTCCTTCTTTTTTTTTCAGAAAACAGATGAGTTGATGTACTCGATGATATTATTCTGCTGAAGATTGTCTTTTCGTGTTTTCTTGAATTTAAAAATTTATTTTCAATAATTTTAATGTTGAAGAAAGTTTCTAGTGCTTTCAAGATGATAAATATTTGAGTTATCGAGGAGTTGAGGTATTTCTGTTTACAGTTCAAGAAACTTGTTTTCAAATTCAATGTGAAAAAGAAAATTATTGTATCTTAGCCAATTCAAAAAAACTAGTAACACAAATGAGACATGATTTATTTCGAATCAAATTTCATCGATGAAAGAACAAACATTTAATTTCCTCGATACACGTATAACGAATGTCGTTAGCGAAAGATACAACTTCCTTGGAATGACAATGCAGACATAAACAAAAATATTCTTCAAAATGAAAAATACACAAGCATACAAGGAGTAAGTAAACTTGAGCATCTCCTCATCATCTCAAGTGATTGAGTGAGTGATTGATTGAAGACTAAGAGTACAGTCTTAATATAGTAGAAAGGTTTTATCGCTTGGATTATGTCGACTTATGCATTCCACAAGTTTCAGTTTACTTAAAGCATCGAGGAAGGAAATCCTCACAAAATCCTTAAATTAATACAAAATCGTAAAACATACTTTTTAAATGATTCACACATTTACAACTTATTTGTTGCTATTGTCGCTAAATAAGCATTGAAGTGACGGAATGAAAATTTAAAAATAAGAAGGGATTTTAAGGAAGATTAGTCTGCATTCTCAAAATAATAACAAGATGACAATCAAATTTTTTATGATGATGGGTTCTTCATTTGTGGTTGAAAACTTTTTATTAACTTCCTTTAAATCTTGATAGCAATATCGTTTATTGTTAATCGAACGGGTGACAAGCACTAACAATTGTGGTGTTGTAAATTTTACATCGTTGCATAGGTTCAATGACCGCTACCTTCAATCATCACACATTTTATATGCATTCATGCTTATATGCATATCAATGTTTCAAGAATAGGAAATTTGCATCAGCAGCATCATGGATGAATGAATTTCGATTAAAATAAAAAGAGTGGAAATGAAAAAAAAAAAAATTCACCTTTCTCATCTTCATGCACATTTTATTATTGTATTTTGTAATCAGATTACAACGGATGAGACTTTATATATGCACATTCAGTGAGAAATGTTAAAAAGAAGAAGAAGTTGATTCATCATGCAATTGAATTGTGCACAATTTTGTAAAATTGGATTTGTGAAAGATGAGTGGGAAAAAGAAAGGAAGAGTGAAAAAATGTTATTCATATCGCAATATAAGTATTATTATTACAATTGCAAAGAACTTCTTCTGCACAATGCGATGTTAAAGTAAGTAAGAATTAATCTGGCAAAGTATAAGAAACACAATCTATTGTACTACAGCTACAAGTTAAATGTAATTTACAAAGCTGGTGCGACACACTTTATTATCTATTTAAATTTCAAATGATTATTTAAATTTTAAAGGACACTTCTGTGCCCGTGTTTTGATTAGTTGGATGTTTCAGTCGAAAATAATTGAAGATTGATAGCACTTCAATCCAATCCAAGTTGACAGACTGAAATTTATTAAAGGAAAAGATATATTAATAAAACTTGTATTGCAAAGTTACAGGAAGGGAGAAAAAGAAAATTAGAGGAGGTGCAGTACGTTCTTTTATTTACAGAAACATAAACTGAATATTCATAATAATATCAATAATTTCAGTTGAAAAAGCTCCTTTATATTTATTTAAGCCATAAAATTGGTTTCTCTATCAATTTTTATTATTCTTAATGCATTGCACTATTGATTGCTCTACCGCATATTCAGCATTCAATTTCATTCCTTGTCATAAATTTTTAATTCTTCATATTATGTTCTTTAACACCAACCAACTATTCACTATGCAATCATCATTATCATCATGTTGAATGTTGTGAAAGTAGTCAGAAGAAGAAAAAAATATTGAAACAGAAGTGTTAAAACGGAAATTACGATTCATCTGGATGGGCCATAAAAATATTAATAAATAATTCCGAAAAACACCCTCAATTTCTATTTGCGATATGAAAACTATAAAAATGCAGTTAATACATGAAATGAAACGATCCGTTATTCCACGGGAATATCATAAAAGATGTATTGGAACAACATTTGTTGGGTGAATTAATAGAAAATTCTTCAATTTTCAGTATTTTTATGACTCTAAATGGCATTATTAACACAATCTATGAAAAAGGGATTAAAAATATGTCTTAATCTCGATCCGCATGTGTGTCCATCATAAAGTCCATTATTTCATGGTATTAACTGCCTGTTCCTTCATTCATTCAATTAAATTGATTGATTTTTTTTCACGGTTTTAATTTCGATTTATTTTTTATACTTTTATTGTAGCACATGAGCTGTAGAATAGGAAAGAGATTCTGTGTAAGATCGTAAAAAAAGGAGCGAGAGTATGCTTCATATCTCTGCTCATTCATTTCAACAGAATTCAATGCATGTCATGGAACATTAAAATAGTAAAAATTGCCTCGTAAAAAATCCTTCTCATGGTGCTGCCATAAAAAATTTGCTCATATCAACTTTATTCATGTACTTGTTTATGCAATTTTTAAAGAGAAGAGAAAGAATCTTGAAGGCAATTTAATGGCAAATTCTAATGTTCTGCTTCCTTGCATATTATTATTTGTAATAAAATTCACAAACAATAAGGATATCAACAATTCACTGCATGGATGAATTTTATTGTAAGACATTTGAATTTCGTTTGTTTTTAAGGATTTTTGTTACGTGTCTTGATTGTGCCAATTTCCTGCTATTTTCTATGATTAATAAGGAACTCTTTGACTATGATTTTTTTAATTTTTCACTATAATTTGTAAGTGCATAATAAAACGGTTTTAATTTTCAGACATGAAGCTTGTTGATCATGATAAAAACGACACCAACTGAATAAATACAAATGAGTAGAGCACCAACGTTTTCACTTCTCAAAATTTCAATTTTCTCTCAATAGTATCTGAAATTTTGAACTGCAAACATCAACTGAAGCTATAAAAAATGAATTTTTTTGTCATCGTGACTATTTTAGTCACAATTAGCATTCAATTCACTAATTGCGTTCCTATGGGTAATTTATTTAAATTTCTATAACAAAATATTTTTACAATGGGATATTTCAGGAGATATTGATGACGAAAGAGATGTTAATTTTTTAATAAACAAAATTAAAGAATCAATAACAAAAGATTCTCAGCTCGTAAGTCCAAGTCCTCGTCATGAAGAAAACAGTCCAAGTGAAAAAGTGGCAAAAAATAGCGACGAAGAAAATGTTGTAAGATTTGACAGTAAAGGCGAATCTATTGAATCAGAAAAAGTAAAAGTTCAAAGTGCTGGTGGTTGTAAAGACAAAACTGAACCTTTATTGAAGGAACATGAAGAAACACCCACAAAGCATATTGAAGCAGTTAATGAAACCAAAAATATTACCAACAACGAAAATCTTCATGACAAGTCATCCTCTGTAGATGATCATGCAATTCGATATGATCGACATGGAAATACGTTCGAAGATTATAAAGATTCTGATGAGCATAATAACAAAGAATCATCAGAAGAAAAGCCCAAAAGAAAGAAGAAAACTAAACCAAAAACTGTTGTAAATGACGATGATGATACTATAAATCTTAACAGCATACTGAATGACGAATTTATCAACAAACAACTTGAAAATAAGAAACAACAACACGATGACGATGATTCTGATGATATGGATGATGAAGATGATGATATTCCATTAATCACAATTCCTATGTATGATATCCTACGACAATTTCAAAGAATGCAACAAGGATTTGTAAGCGAAACTGAAGAATATAGTGACGAAACTACACAAGATGTATTCGCTGATCCACATTTGAAAAATATTTTAAGGGAAATATCAGCTGAAAGAAAGGCTTTGAAAAATGAAAAAGTCGATGGCAAGAAAGTTAAACCAGCTGCAAAAAGAGTATTTGAACGTCACTTTGGTCCATCAGATGAAAGTCTTTAAATTGTCAATCATTTTTTGGATATTATACCTCAGATAATCTTTTAATAAAATAATGACGCATGAAGGTTCAAAAATCTTCCACTCTGTCAATGCGTCTGAGAGTTTCTCAAGTAAATGGCTTAAATCTCTTTTATTACTAAATCAATTTTCTTCAACATCGTAAAAAGAATTCAAACAATAAGGAATAAAGTTATCATAACAATAATTTCAAATGCTCGAATGCCTTTTATAGTTTACAAGTGAGATTGAAAATTGTCTCTGCTATTTCCTCTACTCTATCATCTTATTCATATTATTGACTCTCGTTTGCTAGAATATAGAAGAAAAAAAAAATGAGACTGCATGAGAAAAGCACAAGACATGGAAAATGTTTAAGGAAAGCCATAAAAAAATAAAAATAAAATATCAATATGTAAATGCTCGAGATGCTTTTCATTTTATAGCTGTCTTGAATTTTTCAAACATTTTTCATCGCATCTTTAAATGTGTGGATGAAGACAGCAATTGAATGGATGAGATTTGCATGTAAGAAATGAGATACAATAATAGAAGCAATAAGAAGAAATTTTCTTAAACTGCTAATTCCATTATAGCCAATTATTTCGATAAAAGTGCAATAAAACATCGGTTATCATCTCCGTAATTACATTAAAAACTATCGCTGCAGTTCTTTAAAAGTAAATTGCAAATTGAAAATGGATAATAAATTGATTAAATGTAATTCCATTCGTTTTGATGGCGTGTTCTATTAGCTTAATTATATTTCATGATTTTAATTCTATCTTCTATCAACTTTACCATTTTCCAATTGCATTATTCGCTCAGTCTTTCTTAATTTTACTTCACGATGAAAGAAGTCAGTTGAGCCATAAAGAATAAAATCCTTGGTACGAGATTAAAGTCCATGCAATAAAAATTTTTGCACAACATAAAAATGATAAATGAAGTCTTATGCGGTTTAATGTTGTGCAATGTGAAAGCATGTGAGGAGGAGCGATAATAGCTTAGGGGATGGGCAATAATAACAAATAAATCCTATTCATGGTCGAAAAAAGAAATTAGTTTTTAACCCACAAAAATGAATGATGTCGAATGAATGTAAATTACATGACAAATGTCTTTATTTATCCTTCATCATTTAATCCTTATAATTGGTGAGGTCAATGAATAAAAAACGGAATAATCACAATCATAAAAAGAGCAATAATATTCTTAAGCAGTTCCTTAATTACATTTATTTGGCTTCTTTTTTTTATATCATAAATTCTTAATGAATGAGTAAAGATATTAATGATAGGAATAACCATTCATGAAGATGAAAAATGAAAATATGCATAAAATTACAATAAGTTTGTCATACATTCATAAATTAATCAATGGAAATTAAAAAGAAGTACGTCTGATGAATTTTTAAGTGCTCTCAACATAACATTCATACATGAACACTACATTCATCATCAAATTTTATTATGTTGCGTTGTTATTTGTTACTGGAAAAATAATTAATGTGTCATAAAAAGACATTCAGCATGTATGCATATATTAAAAAGTCATTTAGGAAAGGATTGCTGGAACATGATAATACGAGCGCATTTCGTGAATTCTCAAAAATTAGCTATCTATAGCACTTCAAGTAGAATAAAATCATTAAGGTCTAGAAAACTGAAGATAAGTTTCCTCCAAGTGAAGTTAATTTGAAGTTTTTAAATCCCACCCGCCACAGGATACAAAACAAAAAAACACAACATGGCTAATGTGGCTATTTTTCTTCATTTTTAATGATGAAATTGACTCAAAATGACTATAATTAATCAATTGTTAGAAAACATGCTATAAAAATCCACTTATTAATTTCATTTGTATGCTTAAAATTATTTTCTTTTCATATTTGTTAAACTGATTCATAAAAAAAATTCTCGCGACTTTTTTCGTCTCTAATTAGCATCAGCATAATAATATGAATAATTATGAATGAAAACTCATTAAAATTATGTACATTTTTCATAACATCTTTTGACTTTTCTCTCTATGACAAGAATAAGAGAAATTATATTTTTTAACATAATGACATTAGTGATTAAAAATTCAAAAGATAAAAACGACTGTATGTATGTGGAACATTAATCTATTAAAAAGAATTCATCCATAAATATGTTCAATTTACAAAATAAATAAAAAAAAGCTACAACGTAATTAAAAGCTGGATGGATAAATAAAAAGGAGATTCACAACCACTTACAGTATAATGTAGAGAATGTCATTTAAAATACCACATAAATAGAGTTCTTTCTTTTCTTCATGTTAAGCGTATCCTGAACGAGGATAAAATGAACAAGAGAAAGTTTCTGTGCATTACACTTAGCAATGAAGCAACGATGTGTAGGAGAAAAAAAAATCTCTTATAACTGTTAATAACGTATGTATCTATATGTATGTGACGTAAGATAGAATGTATGATATTACACGATAGTCATCATAGATTAAACCATTTTCGAATTTTCGAAATCATATGTTGTTAGGATAGTAGCAGGCAGTAGCAGGTTTCGTGTATGCAGTCATCCCCCTAATTTTTAGTCAACGTTGATGTATTTTGACTGGTAAACAAAATAATAGTTTTAAGTGATTTATTAGTTTATTTGAGTGATAATATCCTTAAAAAAATATCCTTAATACAGATCTATTTATGTCAATTAAATAGTATTTAATTAATCAACATTGGAATGCTTCCAACATATCGAAATAATGAGAAATCTCAAAGTGAATTTCAAATATTATGCTGTAAATTTAGGAACCAAAGCAAACAATCAGAATTCCTTATCTGCTGTGGACTAGTCTTCATTTTCTACTTGATTTATGGATATTTTGCTGAACTGATCTTCACGTATCAAGGAGTGTCGGGATGGTACATAACTTTAGTTCAATTCTTCTTCTACACTATTTTTGGCCTGAAAGAAAATGCAAAAATGCACCGTCTAGTTCCGTTCAAAATTTACCTCCTTTTGGCATTTTTAACTTTAGGAACTATGGTAAAAAAATTAATTTATTCCTCTCAGCTTAGTCATGATTTTAATCTTTGATCCGTTTTTTTATTTATCCTATAGGGACTATCGAACTTCTCATTGGAATATCTTAACTATCCAATGCAAATCATTTTCAAGAGCTGTAAATTGATTCCGGTGCTAATTGGATCGATATTAATCCAAAAAAAGAAGCATAGCTTTATGGATTTTATGGCAGCATTTGCGATGTGTATTGGATTAATATTCTTTACCCTTGCTGACTCGCAAGTGTCACCAAAATTTAGTGGATACGGTGTATTCGTTATATCAGTAGCCTTAGTTTTTGATGCTGTGATTGGAAATGTGCAAGAGTTAGCAATGAAGAAATACAAAGCTTCCAATAGCGAGGTTGTGTTCTACTCTTATGGCATCGGGTTTTTATATTTACTATCATTTATGGTGATTACTGGAGATTTCTTTGTTGGATTTCAATTTGCTTGGAAGGTAGATATTGATTTGTTTAAACATATTTTTCTTGCATTAATTAACTGATTTTTTTTTTCGCCTACAGCATCCAATGGAGACGTACGGTTATAGCTTTTTACTAAGTATTACGGGATATTTAGGAATACAAGTAGTTTTAACTCTAGTACGAACTACAGGGGCTACTACGGCTGTTACAGTCACGACAACTCGCAAAGCTATGAGCATTGCAGTATCGTTTATATTCTTTACAAAACCATTTACATGGCAATATGTTTGGTCGGGACTGATCATTGTTTTAGGTATTTATCTTAATGTATATAGCAAGAGATCAAAATTAACGTTCAAAGAATTTATTGGAAAATTTAGAAGATTGATACATAAACGTAAAGATGAGAGTAGACAAAAACTTCTTGACATTTAAGAAACCTTTTAACTCTAATTAGATTTTAAAAAGTAATAAAACTTATATTAAGTATTAAAACACATATTATAAATGGACCATTTAAGATGGCAAATAAAATTCCGTTTTAGTTGTAAAACCGTACACAAAAAGGATTAAATTGATATAAAACAAAAGAATGGCATGAAGCATAAAATGTCTCTCACGTGTTCCCTCTAAGCACAAATTTTCTGTTTTATTTATCTTTTTACGCCTAAAAAATCATTTTTATGACATTTCGTCTTAATAACTTTATGGTATGTTTAATAATTTCAGAGAAAATTTTACGATCATTGCTGTTGTTTATTCTTCTGTTTCTGTTGATTAAAAAATATCATTTTATCCTTAATAATAATAACAGTCACAAAATTGCAATTAAAAATGCATAAACCGTGAAGAATAAACAAACAAAGGATAAGTTTTTATATATTTTCTGGAATCCATCTTTTTCTCATTTCCTCTGTCAAGCACAAAACCAACAAACGCGACAACTTCATTAAATAGTTCATATCTCTTCACCTCGAATGAAGGATCCAAATGTTTTATTATAATTTCACGATATAAGAATATACATTATTATTTTTATGATCATTTTATGACCATGAAAGGGTTAAAATATTCTATTTCGATTACATTCATTGACGTTAACTTTTTCATCCCTCAAAAATAAGCAGTCACCTCAGCGAAACGGAATTTGTTTTAATCGAAAATAAGATAGCACAGTGAAGAAAAAATTTGATGTCTCATCAGATTTTTTTTTCTTCCTTTTTACCACGTTTTTTAAGCTGCAAAATAATTTTTTTTTTCATCAGCATCATCCCAGTTACTTCCCGATAAAAGCCGAGATATTTTTACGATCTTGAATTTGAATTAAAATCGAATTAAAATGCGCGCCAAAAAAAGTTTTTATAACGATGATTTTATGGACATACGGCAAACATAGCAGATCCCCACAGTAAAATTTTTTTTTTGTGTGTAACAGTTTGTGATGGGAAAATAAAAGGATGGAATTGAAGGGAAGTGTAGTGACATCCATAAAACTCTCTGTAAACAAACATAACTTTACCAGTCATCGACGAGCGATTTTTATTATTAAATGAGATATTTTTTGTGCCATCTCCTTGTATAATAAAATTTACAGAAATGCAAATAAAATGTGATGGGAAAAAATGAATGAATGAATTTTAACAGAAGTGCTTGTAGCCAAAGAATAAAGAATGGTTGTGGAAATCGAGAGAAAGTTTACTTAAGCTGAGGAAAATTTATTTTTCTTGTAAAAACAAAATTATTCATCAAGGATATATTCATCGTTGAGATGCAGAAGTACATTTTTTATGCAACATGCAACAAAGGATTTTGTTGTTTTTTACAATCCACGAGAATATTTCAGCTGATACTTTACAAAAGAAAAAAAAGAAAATTCATTTAAAATGTAATATGAGAAGTATCCATCTGAGAGAACTAATAAAAGAGCTAATGAATGAAAATTAAATTTTACACCTTTTTCCTTCAACTTTATAACTCCCTGAACTTTCATAAACTTTTTCCTTCGTTTTGTTTTATATTCCTTCTCTCTACGTTTTACATTGAAATGTTATTATTAAAATGTTAAAATTTCTTTCTATTTTTTTGTTCATGGATGTTCATCATAGATAAAAGAAAAGAGTTTTCTCGTGTTTTTTCATCAGTTCTTAGCATTGTAATGTGATTTTATGCTTTAATTGGAAATTTTATGCACTTGATTTCTTTCATTACAAACCAAAATTAATTTCTTCACTACTTTCTATTTCTAGAAACATGAATTTAAATTAAAATCTTTACAGCAGATTTTGAAACATTTTCAACTATAGTAGAATGTCCAAAAATCATAAAAGATTACTTGAAGTGGAAATTAAATTTTAAAGAATTAGAATTCCATCATAGCACTTGTTAAAAGAACATTAAATCCCAGAAGAAAACTTGTTTCCATCACCATCATACGCCAATAATCCCAAAGATTAATCACCAGTTGTGTTCACTCTAGAAAATTTCCCTTGAACTCGCGTGAACGAGAAAACAGAAAAGTGCATTATGATGTCGTCCCGAGAACAATAGCTGTAAATGAATATTCAACAATCGTAAGATTCTGAAAAGAAATTTGAGGAAGAAAAAAAATGATTGCGAGATTATGTTGTTTGAGGATTAACTTAAGAGGCGAAAATGAGGAAAAGAGAATTCTTTTATTAATTTTCTTTGTTGGTGTCTGTCATTTCGTTGACTTAAAAGCGTTTACATGCAAATCTTTTAAGTATCATACCGGAAAAAATGAAAAATAAAAAAAATTTGAGCGTAAATTAAAAAAAAAAAAGAAGGAAAAAGTCTGAGCTACTGCATTTTTTATGAAGTCGCATTTTTAAATTATTTTTTAATTATTCCAGCATCGTCTATGTTGCTCGTTGCCCTATCAAAAAAGGAATTGCTTTAAAAAAATTCAATTTGGCCTTTATGTGGAGATTAAAAGACTATAGAGTGAAGAGAATCTTTAAAACTAAAGGCAGCAAAATTTTAATGTAAAAGGATCTTCATTTTTCAGCACACATAAAAAGTCATAAAAGTATTAAAATGGAAAAATTATTGACAAACAATGAGTTTAGAACAACAGAAACTTGTTTCAGTTATTAACAATTCAAGCATAAATTGGATAATAAAAATTGTTTTCTTTTTTTTGCATAATCACATTCTGTGTATACGACATTAGTAGAGGGTGTGCTGATATTCTAAAATCTAATTAAAATTGTTGAAAAAAAGTTGTAAAATTTTGAACAATATAAATTTAAGTTTATGCTGCTTTGAATACTTAATAAAGACTATTATAAGATGTATAAAGAATGTATTTCTGTGCAGTATTCGTTAAAGTAGATGACTCATAAAATGAGCATAACACCTATCTTTCTCTCATAAATTAGAACAAATATTAAAGTAAAATGCTTGCAATTGATGAAAACTCAATTTTAGACATTCTAAATCATATTGACGAAAAAACTATGAATTGTGGGGAAAACTTTTCCATTTGATCCATAAAAACAGTTTTTAAGTTATTAAGTATGAGATGGAAAAAAATTGCAAACTTCTGTTGCAATCTTAACAATTTAAAACAATTATCGATTTATGTCTCTCATTTCTTGTACCATATCTTGATCAGGCGGCACTGCATATTCGTCTGCTGGTTTTCTTCCTAAGCATGTTGTAAAGCATGTATCTCCTTTTCCAAAATTTTCACCGTCTTCAAGACTTTCAGGCATTTTCTGTCCATTTGTTTCGGGCAACAGTAGGACCCATAAACCAGATACGACAGAAACTGCACCAAATATAATTGCAGGTATTTTTGGATTAAGAGAATCAAATAAGATAATTAAAGGAGTTAAAGCTCCTGACAATCTCGCCATCATGCTACCTAAACCCATTAATGATGATCTCACAACTGTTGGGAATAATTCTGTTGAATAGTTATAAATTACAGCAAATGAACCAGCAATAAACTGAAAGATTAAAAAACTGATTAACAACTATCAAATTAATTGATATTAAATTAATTTTTACCAATTTCCCAATAAACACAGTTGTTGTTGATTCCGTTGATTTTTGTGCCATAAATACAGCCAAGATACACGCAGTTCCTCCAACGACCATAAATGATGATGTAATTGATCTTCTTCCTAGTCTGTCCAAGAGCAGAATAACAGCCAAATAGCTTGGAATTTCAACAAGACTCATAATAAATAAGTTAAAGAAAGGATTTCCACCAAGTTTGCCCTAAAGTTATAGAAAATGAAAGTTTAAAAATTGGAAATCAAAAAATTAAAATTTGCACTCTCTTACAGAACTCAGTGACAATCCATAATATCCTATTGAATTAGCAAACCAGCACAAACAAACATTTAAAGTCTTCACTCTTAGATTAGGCGTCTTAAAAAGATCAGAAATTCCAAAAGACTTTTGAGTTTCTACAACATTTCCATTTCTTGGTGCTTTTGTGTACGAAAGATAATACTGCTTGTCAATTCCAATTCTATTCTTATTTATTCTAGATGCCTTTGCTACAATATCAATAGCTTCTGAATGTCTTCCTTGCGTCCACAGCCATCGAGGTGATTCATCCATAATCCACCAATGTGCGATAAGAATAAGAGCATGCAAGCCATAGACGACTTGTAAAAGTTGTCGATCTTTGATTAAAGCAGCCCATCCTGCCACAAGCATTATTCCAAATGCAAAAGCTGCTTGAAATGCTACACCACATGGTGTACGTTTTGAAGGACCGACAATTTCTATGGTAAGTACAAACCCAGCTATATAACTACCCGCTGATCCAAAAATGCCATATAAATAACGGACAACAAGGAATGAATAGTATTCTGGTACAAATGCTACACCAACGCCGAGAAAAAGTTGCAGAGTTGCTGACCAACAGAAAACCTTCTTTCTTCCTATCTTATCAGCTAATGAACCTAACGTTACAGCACCAGTAAATACACCAAGCATGTAAATAGTTTGTGCCAATGCCCCCAAATAAAGATTATCACAGACCATATTCCATTGCATAGTTCTTGTATCTTGATAGTACGTTGTGTCATACACAAATCGTGAGCATTTAATTGTTTCATTCGTTCCTTCAGTATACATGTGACATGAATCTAATTCACCATTTGCTTTTAATGGTATTCTCGAGAGTATATCCGTAGAGTTCCATGATGCAATTGTTTCGTTTGTATCGACGTTATCAATAAAACAACGATGTTCTGGAACTGCTGCAATAGTGACAAGAGACAGCATATGAAGGCCAGCTGTCACTGCTGATAAAATATGTAGAAAAAATTGAAAGCCTTGATATCTCCCAAAGTCTCCTGTAAATGAGAATATAAATTATTTATTATGCCCTTTTAAAAGTCTTAGGCTAAAAAGACTGTAAATAATTACTTATTTACGTCTTGACAGAAATGATTATAACGTCTGCCTTACTTTTCTTTGAGTAATACGTATACACAAGTCATAAGAGGATGTGCAGAAAAATGTACAGACACAATAATTGAATTTATTTGAAGTAACAAGACTAAGCACATCTTTTGTCTCCTCCCTCAAGTCGTAACTCATATGATTTATGGAAAACTTTTATTACATTGTAAATTTCCAATCAATTAGCATCGTAAATTAATAAAATCAATTGAAAGAACGAATTTAAAATCTCAATTGATGCTGTTTCTAAAAATTCCATTTTTAAGATTGTTGGTTCAATTGACTTAAACGATAAGCGTATTATTTTTTTTGCTGGGGTATTTTTTGATAAAGACAAAACTAGTTGTCGTGGAAAGCATTCTTTACTGTCTCGTATAAATTAAGCTTAACTAATTCACACACTTGAAAATTAATAATGCATGAGTGATGTTCCATAAATTCTTATTTAAATTTTTGACCAGTCATTAACTTTTTAATCAAATTGGGAATGGCGACAACAAATTAAATAATCGTCAAAATTAATTTACGGATATGTAAGGCACAAAAATATCTTTACCAAAATGGTTGGAAAAGCAAGCAATTTATGTCATATCTAAAATCATCACAAGAGTAAAAAGCTTACAAATATGGATCAATAATTGAACAATTGAATTGTAGACAAACATATTCTAAAATTAAATCTTGTGTTAACATCAAGCATGCTCTCCAATTAATATGCGATTCATATTAGTAAACAGAGTAATAAAACAGTTGTTTGTTGGAAGAAAAGAAGCATTGTGTAAGGTCAAGGACAGCTTATAGATAAAGCTTGTGGATGTGTGGAAGCAACGACTTGTAAAGAATCAAACTTAAATTACTTTTTCAACAGTATAGTGTATGTGCCACGAAATGGTAAAATAAATTTAAAATTATTTTTGCTTAGCGCCAATTACCATAAAAAAATTACTGGCGTCAAATCTTTATTATGTAACTTATTGAGTATGTAAAGTAAACTGAAACAAACTAATAAAGTAAGTTTACTGATTGTAGATATGTGCCACTGTGTTTGTTCTTATCAGCATAAATCACGATTTGGCACTTAAAATTTTTTTTTATGGTTTAATAATAGATTGCCGATCGTCCATCCGATACTTTTTTCAAGTACGCGCTTCTATAATTAGCCACTTAAAATTAGTAAATTGCGTACATTAATCGATATGATAATGAGTTGTGAGAATTTTCTTTTCGTATGTACATTGTAAACAGAAAACACTTTTTATTTATGTCTCGGACGTCCTATGATCACAGCAAAGTGATCGATTGTGATGAGGAAAATATGTAAATTCTTAAAAAAATGGAGGTAAGTCATCAGATGTGCTTTATTGTTGATAAATCTATTGTCTTAACGCTTATTTTCACACAATAATTTATGGTTCATACTCAAATAAAATGTCTATACTAATATCATAGACCGGTAATAAGTATTTTTATATTCGTGGATCTTTTTCGGATATATGCATAAAAAGCTGCTGAACTACAATATTAAGCATTCCGATAGTTGTTTTTTGAATATGTCCTCAATATAATGTTCTAATGGTGAACTGACAGAGATCATTAAAAGAATCAACAAACACGTGCAGCCAAAAAAATAACTGAAACAAAACTTCTTCCCACTCCACTCCATTACTTTCTCTTCATCCATCATGAAATGTAACATTCATTTGTAAAAGCAAATAAAAATAATAATAACATACACGTATATCCATTAGTGAAAGAATGAAAGCCACAAAGTGGAAAGATTTAAATCATGTGCCAAAAAAAAAAATTGTTTTCGTTCTTGCCTTTTTCGTTTCGAGTTATTTCTACCATTGAAATTTATCTTTCTCCAATTTCTTTCTTGCTTAGTCAAAATTTATTTAATTCAACCGGTAAATGAAGAAGTAAGAAATGATTGTGCCTCATAATGATCAACTTACAGCTGCACAAAATGGAAAGTTTGATTTAAAATGAGATTTGGCAAATTATTTACTACTGAATTGAATTGACCTTTTATATGCTTAAAATCTTATATTTATGGCTGCAGAACAAGCAATCAATTGAGTAACGCCTGTTCAATGAACAATTAAAAATTTGACAATCCAAAATAACTATCGATTCGATTAAAAAATGCTGATTGCTGTAAGTTGCTACTGGTTAGCACCACTCTAAATCGATTTTAATGCAACAATTAATGGAGAAAACGTTTTAAAGGAAAGCAATATTTTTCGTAATTTAATGCTTCAGAAACGATCACAAGCAATTTATTGCACGTTATGACTTGGATGTTTGATTTCGTCTACAAATTATTATTTAAATTACATTCATTTACCTAATGTTGACATTAGCTCCTCTAAAGCGTGATCGACAGCCATGGCTCCTTTAAAATTCCTTTAGTCTTATCACGACTTAATCAATTCAATAACTTAAATATTCGCTTTTTATAGAAAAATAAATGTTTTGATTCACTTCTTGAACTTATTGACCGATCTAATTAATTCATGTCACTATACACGTTGCACATTTTTTTTAAACTTATTTCTTTTTTTAATTTCATTCGCGTTTAAGTTTAATTTAAAAAAAATACAAGAAGTTTGCAACCTTCTGTTTTCCTTACAATTTTTTCTCTACTAATTCTCTAAAAAGCAGACAAATTCAACACTTTCTCGACGTCTGTTCTGATCGATCAGCACAACTCAAATAAGTGCGGTTCTCTGATTTCTCTGCCAACAGACTTTTTTCGTGCTAATTGAGTATAGAGCTAAAAAGAGCGATCAACAACCGAACTCTAAGTTATGAATGGAAGCATTCGTTTCTAAAGCACAAAAAACAGAGTTTCTTCTTTCATTAAAAAAGGCAAGCGAACGATCGAAAGAGAATGAGAAAAATACAGAAAAACATTTTTGTTTCTTCGAGAAATGGAAGTGTTTTTTTTTCTTCTCTCCAGTACTGTTTATCTGTTTTATCACTAAGAATGTTTAGGGAAAATATTTTCAAGGTTATGTTGACAAGCTTTAACTGTCGAGTAAGCATTATTTTGTCCTGATGTACCTAATGACTAGGCGTTTACACTTGGCATTAGAATCTCACTTGAAATCTCTTAAGTTTTCATCAACTATAGAGTATATTCGTAGGGATTTCAATAGTTTGGGGTTCTGACTATTTGTAATCTTAATATTTGGTATTTGTATTTGAAGTCTAGAGGATACGCCTTGGTAATGCATTTATAAAATCATGGAAAATGTTATCTATTTCCGAAATGTATTCATTAGTCAGCACATTATTCAGAAATATGTTTACTAGTGATAACAGAACTGTAAATACGTGTGCGACCTACCAGATATGATGAACACATGTGCAATATCTGAAAACGATTCAAGTAGGTAATGCAAAGCAATTCATGTTGTCGAAGTTTAAGGGATAAAATATTTATTTATTGACATTTAATTTATATAAAAAAAAAACTTTAAAAAGTTCTTGACATTAATAAAATGATTATGGATATAATATCGATGAGATAAAATTAATAATAAAATTCTGATTTTAAAAAATCACTAAGAGATTATTATTATTCATCTGAAAAGGAAGAAAAAAGAAGTGGGAAAATTTAATTAAATTCCAAGGTATAATTGAACGTGTTACAATTAGTGTAGCCAAACATGAAGCACTTTAAATGAAAAAGCGGACAAGAATTTACACTTAATTATAATAATTTGAATATTATTATTTGTTTGTTTGTTTTTTTAGAATTTATGAAAATTAATAGCTTATTAACAACAAGTTTGTCAATGACTTTTTACTACCTCTACCTGCAATCACTTTAAGCAATTGTTTAGTCACTTAACGTTAAATTTACATAAATGCAACTAGAAAAGCTGTCTACGAAACCTCTAAAAACACACAAAAAGCATTAGATGTTGTTAGTAACATTACCTAAAATTGTTAGGTCCACAGCCATATTAATTTCTTTTTTCTACACTTTAGCATTTTCTCATCATTCTAAGTTAAACCGATAAAATTCAACAAAATTTAATTTAGACAGGATTAGACATTACAAAAAGTATGTTGAACGCAAAAAATGATTGGACATAAGCATGTAAAAATAAATATTCAGTAAAATTTGAACTTGAATGATGATAAGAAAATTAAAACGTAGAAAAATATTGCTACATCTATAAAGCCTCCACTATTTTTTCAGAGTGTTGTTTGGAGCCAAATAAAAGACAATAATATAAAAATATGAGAATATTAAATTATCTAGTCTACAAATAAATAGATTACATATAGCTATACGAATATTTCCTTGTACCATCATTAGATTGAAGCACTAGTATGGAAATTGGATAAGATTTTAAAAGAGGAGTACCTGGAGCTGCAAGTGTCGCACGACGTTCATCATTTCCTTTTTGAATTATTTTTTCTGCACAAAAAATTAACAAAATATTAATGTTTAAAATTCGATAAAATAAAATTTCAGCTTGTACCTTTTGACCATGCTATTTGAGGCATTGGTTGAAGTGGCTGAGCTTCTTTAGACTCTTTAGTTGGCTTTCTTTCATTCTGCACACATCTGATAACGAACATTAATGTAGCACCTATAATCGGCGGAATTCCAGCAATTATGAATGGCAGTGTATATGATTGAGTACTATCATAAAGCTCTCCTACAAAGTTTAAATGAAACAGTGTCACTAAAACTAATAATATATACATTCTATCAATAATACCTGCAAGTGGAGGTCCAATTGTTAAACCAAATGAACAAAGCCCAAGTAGGAATCCAATTGCTTGCGCAGCCCCATGCGATCCACAGAAATCGTATGCTATTGGTCCCAATAAACTAATGAAGCATCCATCAAAAATTCCTAATGCTAAGACTGCTAGCAGCAACAGGTTGTAGTTTGATGTTAGTGGAACAAAAATTGTCATGAGACCAATAAAATAAAATGAGATTTGTTGTAATAAGATTCGATCAACACGAGGTAAATCAGAGATGTATCCAAAGACTAAACGTCCAATTCCACTTGCAATTCCAATGCACATCAATGGCAGATTTTTGTTATTTTCTGGAAACTTTTCCTCAATGAATTTTCCAATGTGTACGTAGGGTACGAAATATCCAAAAAGTGCTACAGGAATAGAAATTGCCCATACTACATACTTCTTTCTCTTCCAATTATCAAAATTGATTATAGATCTTGTTACATTGTAACAGCGTGATTTGTTAATTTTTTCTGGCTTTTTTGGTGGGGGTGGTTGGAGTGGCTTATAAATAATTGAGAATAAAATTATGAAACTCGACATTACCATCATTGTTCTTAAACAATTTTTTAATCCATACTGCTGCTCGATCTCTGTTAAAAATGGAGGCATCAAGAATGTAAAAACTGAAGATCCAGCAGTAACAAATCCGTTTACAATTCCCATCTTCTTTTTAAAATAATGTCCAAGAATCGCTAATGTTGGAGTATAGGCGAGAGCTGCTCCTGTACCAAACATTAATCCATAGCTGACGTACAAAATTGAAACCTTTTCAGGCTCAAAAGGAGTATTTATATGCAATGAAGAAATAAACATTCCAGTGGTGGTCAAGATTCCACCAAGAAAAGTTGTCGTACGTAACCCCAGCTTATCAACAAGAATACCAGATACTGGCGAAAAGAAGAATGTAGCTCCAATAGTCAACGATCCAACCAAGGCTGCAAATCAAGAAGAAGAAAAAATAATTAATTGAATTAAAATTTAATCAAAAATAATTCAAAACAGTCACTAAACTCATTTAAATGCTCTGATTATTAAATATTATTTAACGTTCGCCTAAATTAAAAATTGATAACTGAAAATAGAACATGCGGCAATTAAAAGATGTGCAAACTGCGTTGATGAATTGTTTGAATTAAAATTCCAGAAGATAATTTTCTACAAAAGCATTAGACTTAATGTACTTTCATCATTTCTTATCGTCCGACATGATCACGTTTTTTAAAACGGTTCTCACACTTTAGATGTTTGCTTAAAAATAATTTATATTTTTGATAAGAATGTTCTTAACGAGTCACAATCATTAAACGAATTATTAATGTAACACCAGTATTATATGATAATGAGATATCAAGGAAGAAGAAGCCAAAGAGAAGACCGCAAATAGATATTTTAAAAATGTGATTTTTCTTATTAATAGAAGAGAACGAGATGAAGCAATAGATGACGAAAATTGCAAGAAATGAGAATCTTTAAAAAGTAGGTCGTCGTGAAGCATTAAAAAAATTTCACTGAAAATTCACGATCAAGTTTAATGACTCTTGAATTTAATGCGCTAAAATTACATGCATGTAAATCTAACTCAAAACTAAATGCTCGTAGTAATGAAGGTCTTATTTTTTAATTGCCGAACGAGTGAGTGTCGGAAATGCACAGCTCAAACAAAAAATATGTCAAATTGTCATACAAGCTGATAAGATATTGACTTTAAAAGCAGTAAAGTAAGCAGAATTGTGTTTATTCTTTGTACATTCTTCATTCCTTTATGGACAGTTAAAAAACAATGCTATAAAGGAAGCCTTGTCGCGTGAATATAATCGATTCCGGATATCAAATTTCTCATAAACCTGTCTCTATGCTACATTAAGCAACAAAACAGCAATTACGATACACTTCCTTAAAAAAGTTTTTGGATTGTGTTTTCTAGAAAATAGACTCAATCAATCTACATTGATCATCTACAAATATTATGTCAATCATATTAATGAAAATGTTGATGTCTATAATCCAATAACTGTAGCGTATAGTTACTGAGAGACGAAAATGTACATTATGCGTCAAGTTTTAAAGATCGCCACAGGACAAAGGAAGAAAATGTTTAAGGCATTGTTGTCAAGTCAAGTGAATTAAGAGCATATAAAATGTACTAAAGCCTTGCAAACCGAACAATTTTTTGTCGCATTCTACTCGACATTTTGTTCCCAATAATTAAGTCAGTATTTGCGATAAATATTCTTTTCTAAAAATTTAATCCAATAAATCTACTTACATGCTTTACTTGATGCAAGCTCGTCGCCACTTTCCTTTAACTGCCTTTGTAGACTAAGATATATAACACTATATGTATTTATAATGCCAAATAGGATTCCATTACACATAAATGCTGATATCATGACTGCATATCCTCGAAAGCTTCCATCAGGAGGTTCGTAGACATCAGCAGACTCATTTTTTAATACATTATTCACTTCTTTATCAGCATTAGCAGGCACAATAACCACATGATTGTTTACATTATTATTATCTTTGTGACTTATAAGCGATTCCAAATTATTTTCAAACGTCATTTTTGGATCACTAATTTGCACCTTTTGTAATTCCTTTGTTTAATTATTTAGAACTGATGGAATCAAATTACTCAAATAGTTTTCTATACATTTATATACTTGAGGACAACATAAACTTTTCACGATCTTTTACTTTTCTTCTTATTATTCTATGAGTAAGTAAATAACCAACAATTTTTCATGCTAGAGATTATTTTCCTAAGGTACTAAGGTACATTTAATAATTTTAATATTTATTCGATATTTGTTGAATAACTTTATTGCCTTGTCACACAAACTATACACAAAATTTTTCTTTTACTCAATTAATTTTGTAAACCTCTCGTACTCATCGATTGTCGAGAACTGAAATGAAAAAAAGTGTTTTTCATTCTCCGCGCTTCCTTCCCTAAAAATAATAATTCTCACTACTGCCGGCTATAACTTAATACTCGATATTCTCATACATTTTTTTTTTTTTCATCTAACATGCGTGTCTTCGTTCTTTATTTTTCTATTACATGTGGACACAAAAAAAGAGAGGCTAAACATTCATAAATACAATCTAAGCTGATTTATCAAAGGAGATCAAGCGATAAGATAATCCAGCGATAAAAATCATGTCAAAAAGTTATAAACTAATGTGCAAAACTTGATTTGAGTAAAATCTAGCTATTTTCATTCGACACATGCTTGCTATATAAAATAAAAAAATTATGCAAATATTTGTTAACGTTCAAGATTGAATTATGCAGCTTTAGATCGCGCGGCTTGTTATTTTAAGTGCTGTAATTTGCATTAGATCTATATAGCTTGCGGATAATTTGAACTTTCATTCTTCACAAATATCAATATGTCATTAGCAAGCAATTAATATACTCGTTGATCAATTAATGATCAGCAACTTAACTTTTGATTGAACTAGTTGATTTATCTTTTATTGACTTTTCTTTTTGTATTAATATGATAGATGAGAAATATCATTTATGTGAGTTGAATTAATTTGTGCTGAAATGTGGAATATTAAGTAGAGTATGCATATAAATAAAGTGAGATTTCTTATCGACAGATAGTGAGGAATTAATTACACACTCTGTGCTTTATTGTTCTCTCTGAAAAAATATAAAATAACGTCATTACTCTTCTTTATCGTTATTTTTCCCAATCTTTTTGTAATTTGCTGACATATCCTTTACTTCTGGGATAACTTCATCTAATTTCGTGATAATGTCAGCTCTTGCTTCATCACTGTCAGCCTTAAAGTGCTGCAACACTAAATCGTGGAATTTCCTCAATAACAAATGGTCTTCATCCGATAAATAGCCATTTGCTAGAAAATCAAGTATCGTAGATACAAATTTTCCAGACGCATGAATCATAGATCCAGTTCCAATGGTGAAAATAATCAAACATGCTAAATGAAGAACTAAGGAAGGTTCATTGCACTTGTATAATTGATCCAATAAACCTTGTTTATGCATTAATATGATTTGCCTATAGAGAAAAAAAAAAAATAAATAAAAATCAATAATGTAAGGAAGCACTGACGAATTAAACAAGCAGCAAATCAATTGAAATCTATTAACTTACTTGTCTTTCTTCTTATCAATTTTCTTTAGAATCATGCTGCATACGCCGAGCATATTTTCAGCTGCAATTAAGAATTCCTCAACATTATCATTAAGTGACTTATTCAACGCAGTTAAAGGCTGTTTGAAAATGCTCTCACACTCGGCTATAATTCGGTTCTTTTGTTCATTTGTCAGTTGTGAAGTAATAGAACTGACAAAATTTAAGTCACTTTCCAAAGCAACATAATTGCAAATTTCGTTGAAAAACTCACTTCCAAGACTTTTGAGTAAATATTTGCTTAATTGTGACTGCACATCAACAGATGTAAACATTTTCAAACCCTTTTCATATAATCTGATGTCATTAATATAGTTGTTTAATTTATCCTGCAAAGTGCTGTGAGTTTGTTTCCGATTTTGCATGCTATTCTGCAATGACACCTCATACAACTCATGTGCCTTATTCATCGCATACTTATTAATTTGCATTTGATAATAATTGGCAATCTCGGTGACTAATTCCTCTAATCCGTCGTTTTCTAATGTCGTTTTGATAACCTTTTTAATATCACTAACGCTCACGAGTGTCAATTGAACATCTTTTGAAGCTTTCTTTTTATTATTCGTGACATTTTGAGCCTCTTCATCAGACTCTGAATCATCAAAATCTTTATTTTTATTTCCTCGCTGATGCTTTTTTGTAGATTTTGTTTTCGTTTCACGACCTTGAGCGCCTCCACCTGCCTTTCCTGAAGCTGCTTTCTTTCTGCGCTCATCACGTTTATCCGCTTTGCCAAATTGTTCATCAGTTTCAACGTCTTTGTGCTTTATTGTTTTTTCTGCTATATACTTTTGATATGATCCAGAATCGACAGATGTTTTTGCATTCACATCACCAATCTCGTAAACAGGTTTTAATAAGTTGTCAATATATTTTGTAGTCAAAACTAAATTGTTAAAAACTTGTGTAAGTCTCTGTTTGCTTGGCGTTAAAACGATCTGTATTAATTTCTCAACGTCTTCTTCTCCAGCTATTGCACTTGGCAAAATTGTCGACACATCCAAATAGCTGCTTGTTGCAATAGATTCTTCTAAAGTCGATTCAACTTGATCAATAATACGTTGTCCAACTACACATCTATTGAGGAATGTCAATTTTTCGCCAGTCAGCTGCTTCTGTATAAATTGTTTAGCATCGCCAACTCCCAAAGAAGCTACAGAATCATATTCAAGATATCCATTCTGTTTAAAGAAACTTTTAACCCATTCAATTTGTGTTTTTGTATAGATATGAGGAACATAAACTCCAGCAGCTGATCTTGATGTCATAGTTCCAGTTGAGCTAATATCATTTGTAAGCGAGAAAAATATCCTTTCAGGCATTCCAATTTGTGAAATTATAGCCGAAACAGGTGTAGGTTTTGTGATTCCATTTAATGCACCACGAATTTTGGCTTTGCATCGAGTAATAAAAGCAGGCGTATAGAGTAATCTTGGATTATTTGAATCCTGTTTTCCGAAAATAACTTTTCCCAAGTTCTTTTGGACCACTTCATTGAGCAAAAAGTCACTAGGCAAGTCATAAGCACCAGTAAGTTCCGATATATTAATTTCTCCATTTTGACTCAATCTCTCATTAATTTCAGAAGCTACTCTAATAATATATTCAGAGGATATAAGTTGACCCAAAATTAATGTTACTTGAGGATCTTCTTGAGCTATTATTTCAGCGATTGGTTGAATTTTCTGAAGATCAACATTCAATGTTTTCGTGATTTCTACTAAATTGATTCGTCCATTCACAAAAAGTTCTTCCTCTATTTCTTTTCTCAATTGATCATTTGTCAAATATTCCTTTCCATCAGTCGTAAAGACTAGTTCAATCAATCCTTTTTCCAGCAGCAAGCTGACAACTTCTACGCAATTTCTTTCAGACAATCTAAATTGAAAAGTTGGCACGATTTAAATGACACGAATACAAAAAGTTAAAATTAAAATTTTGTAATAATTACCGAGCTAGAGTTGATGACAACTGAGCTTTTTGAAAATCTGCTGCTAGACGCTTTATTTCATCCCAATCTGCACTCATTTCTATGCTGATTTCTATTTAAATTCTCAACTTTTTAAAAAAACTATTTTTCTTGATTCACTTAAATCAGCGCTTTAACTTTCTGATTTTGAAAAACATTTAAGCGTTTTTTTTTTGAGATTTATGCAAAGTAATTTAACAATAATATTGCTTATTAAAGTAATGTTTCAAGGCTTTGTTTATTTATTCTTAAAAATTAAAAATATAGATATGCCTTTCATTTAAAGCGATCTTTTTGATTATATATATATAATTAAGCTATTTACACCTAAGCAAGTAAATATCATTCTTCTGATAAATCGTCGTTTTTACTCTCTTTATCCTTAGTAGTAATGTCGTTGTCACTTAAGTCACATGTTTCAACAATGATTGAATTAAATTCTTCAGGTCTATCGGCATAAACGTGGTGCCCAGCTTGGTTGATAATATAACTCTTAACATAGCTATTTGGTCTAGTTTTCTTAATAATATCACCGGAAGCATTATCAACCCAACTTTTAGAGCCGTAAATTAGAGTTATTGGGATACTTTCGTCCATCTCGTGAATTCTATTCATCATTGGATTTTTTGCCCATCCAAATCCACTCATTAAGGAATGAAATGCTGATTCCCCGGAAGGACTTTGGGCATTGCACTGATAAATATATTGAGAAATAGCCTTTTCATCTTTGACAATTGAGTTAAATTTTTTCATGATATCTGGTCTTGTCTTTTCAACAACCCAATGTCCAAAAGGTCCAGCAGCTCTAACAGCCCAAAGTGGATTTAATGGTTGAATCAAATATGCTATTCCTTTTACCCAAAATGGGATGTTGTACTTTTGATTGACATTTTCTGGTTGGGGAGGATAACCCCAGGAGTCAGCTAAGATTAAATGATGAATTCTATTTGGATGTTTTAGAGCATATGCTGAAGCCAAAAATCCTCCAAAAGAATGTCCAGCAAGAATCATTTTATCTATATTCACTTCCTTCCTCCATTCTTCAATAGATTTAACAAACTGCATTTCAATGATTTGAGGATCTTTGTCAAAAGTTGGACGAGAACTTCTTGCAAAACCAAGGAGATCAATCGCATAGACGGGACGATTTTTTGAAATTGTATCATAATTCATTACCCATAATCCTGTTCCAGCCCCTGAAAATATTTTTCCATACAATATAATATTATTTGACGCACTGCTGTTAATTTTGAACTCTTACCAAGTCCATGAAGCATCACAAGAGGAGTTTTGTCACTGGATTCGTTTAAAGCTACTGTCCATATTTTGTCACTTTCACCAACAACGCTCCCTATATCTACAAAAAATCCACGATAGGGACGCTTTATGAATTTCATTATTGCCTTCTCCGCTTGCCTCAGCATCTCGCAATTATAACTAGACCAACGAAGTAAATCACTTCGCCACCAACTGAAAGTTCAAAAACACATAGGTATTAATCAATCCAGTTTGGAATTATAGATTTGATACATTATAAATATGAATTAAGCTTCTAAGACGCTGAATGACATTCATAACTAGCCTGATTATAATTTCTTTTGAAGGTCGAGAAAGTTTTTAATATTAATTCGGAAACGTTTATCACCTATTAGTTACAGAATATGTTTGAATCTTTTGATCTTCAGCCATGTAAAATGGAATTAAGTTTAATTAAATAAATCACAGTACTAATTACTTAATAAAATCAGTTTAAATTCCCTTATAAATCTTTTTGCGACTATATGATTTTGTTACACTTTGATGTTTGCAAACAGACTGAAACTGTATGAGTATAAATGAGTATATATAAAGATCGTTTAAAACTTTACTGAGCGTTAAAATTAATAATTTTATTTCTGCATAGGATTAAAGATAATTATAGAAAGAACAAAAAAAATATTACAAAGATTAAGGTTCAATCTCAACCTTATCTTCAACTATAGAAAATACAAAAGATAAACATCCAAACTTCAAGAGGTATCCATGCTGTAATAATGCTGTACCTTCCCAAGCTTGAATCATCGGGTATCTTCCTTTACATTCACAATATGGTGAGTCTTCAGCTGCCATTCTGTATAAAATAAATTAAATTAAGAAAATGCCAGATAAAAAAAAAACTAAGAGGCTTACATCACATCTATGTCAGTATCTTGACCTGGTTTATCGATTCCTTCTCGAATTTTCTTCTTTGCATCAATCATATTCTTTATCTTTGACTGTATGGCAACTCTTTTCTCTTTTAGCGGACTTGAAGGAGACTCTGAAATGTCTGCAGGATATTCTGTAAAGTCACATGAAAATATCTGTCCATTAACGTCAGTTCCAAATTCAGAATAGTTTAAAAGTTCATATTGCTTGGTAATTTCATCGAAAAATATAACTGCATGCTTTGGCGAGACGTAGGCACAGGAACCAAATCGTGAGAGATCTAAATGATTATTGGCTCCAATTCCGATTTCAAAAGATCGATATCTCATGAAAACTGACTGATTTAAGTTTGGCTTGATCGTAAACCATTTTCGACCAGAAAGATAATCATTAGCATAAGTTATAACCGCACGCGATTTAACATTTGAACGATGAATAGGATATTCGAGAGATAAAGCCAAAGATGAAGATTTTTCTTCGTCGCTTCTTATGTGGAAAGGTCGATCGCGCATTCGTATCGTAACAGGATTATTATCAGCATCATTTTCTTTCTTTATATCATCAACTGGAACTGGTATAGGAAAACGATGTGCATCCCATTTTGCTATTTCTGCGATACTTTGAGATGCAATTGCTTTGTCATTTTGGAACTTTTGTATATTATTCGGATTCTCATTAACAATTTGCTGCAATCTTTGGAATGCTAAAAGTTTAATTGTATCCATATCTAAATTACTTAATTGTTCATTTATTGCTTGTAATTCAAGTGGAGTTAGAATCGATTCCTTTTTCGTGTCCTTTGTACTGTCGATAGTCTCATCAGTTTCGATTTTAATTTCAACGTCTGTATCTTTTTTATTTTCTCTATCATTGAGATTATCTGATTGCTCTATTACATCTGTAATACTTGAGTTATTTCCTTCTACATCGCTTTTATTTTTTCGGCCTTTTTTTGGGGGTGGACTTTTTGATGGAGATTTTTCAACATCATCTTCATCCTCATTTTCGGAACTTTCCAATATTTTATGAATATCTTCTTGATCACTGAAAATTGTTTTCAGTTTTTTACGTGCTGTTTCCATTGCATCCAATTGCTCGTCGATTTCTGCAAGTTGGGTTTTTTGGAAATCAACTTGGACTGTTCCACGTTTCTTTACATTCTCAATACGCATTACTTGACGCATAGATGGTAAAAGATCTGGTGGATTTTCATACTGATACTTAACAATTTCTGGTATTTCAATCTCGTCTGCACGTTTGGGCTTTAATTTTATTCGAAATGGAGGGTTCTTCATATGAACTTTACGGAAAAACTGAAGTTTAATGACTTCATGATCGACTGGATTTTTTGAATATCTATCCCATAGTTTCATTCTCTCGCTAGCAGAGAGTGTTTCAACTAAATTCCAATCAATAAACTGTTGTGGATGAGCAGGACACATCCATCTACCACTAGGAAGTGCACACATCGGTGGATCCAGACAGTCTTGGTGAAAATATAACGAACAATAGTCGCATGAGATAAGTGGAGCTTTTTTGCATGACTTGTTGCATGTAAAACAGAGTTTTGCTGGAAGTGGAACACAGCCATTGCTGTCTAATTCGACTAAACGCTTTGTTTTAACTCGTCTTCCATTTTTCATATGATCTGCTCGTTCGGAGCCAGGAAATGGAAACTGTTGTGTCATTTCTACTGGTAATTCAAACTGTCGAGGATTTAACAGACTTGCAACTCTTATTAATTCCTCAAATGGAGATAATTCCTTATCATCATCTGTAACTGGAGAGTTTTCTTTCTCTTCAATTATTACTTCCTCTGTTTTAATTTCACTTACTATTTGCATATCTCCTTCAATTACTGTCTCAGTTGTCGCATGTTTATCAGTTATTTTCATTTCCATTTCGGAATCAAGTTTTTCCTTTTCTTTTTGTTTTTCCTCATTTTGTTTAGCATATTTTTCTTTCATAGTACACGTATGGCATAGCCATAAATCTCTTTTACAGATGTCTTCCTCACTTAAAGGTGGATCATGACAATTTAGATGAAAACTTGCAGAACAATAATCACAACAAATTAAATTTCCTGCTTCAGAACAACTATCGCAAGTATCGTGATTACCTCTTCCTGCTCGTTTGAACGGATTTACTGGCTTTTTCTTATATTCTTCACTAGGAGGTGCTATAAGCCTTTGAATTTCCTGAAAATGTTTATTGAAAAATTAGTTGTGGAATTTTTTTCATGATACACAAGCCATAATGGTTGACTAAAAAACAAATAATATAAATCCTAATGAATTTGTGCAAATACTTACGCCCATCAAACCTTCACTATAATCACTGCCTGTTCCATATTGAACCTTTTGTCTAGACATTTTATTTCACTATTATTAAGCAAATTTTAAAGCTAGTAAAATGCAGAGAAAAGTTTTTGTTTTCGTGGTGAATATAATTATTCACCAATAAGGTTTAGGGGAGAATCAACTGTAATAAGTGGCGAGTTTTACTATTAAAAATTTCGTAGTTTCACATGGATCATTCATTTATGACATCCATCGCAAAATGGGATTTTTAAAGCCCCCCCCCCCCCTCCCCTCAACTCCCCCTCAAACTCTAATTTAAACATTAATTTTTTGTTGACTGCTTCACAAATTCCGAGAATACCACCGTTAAATGATGGACATCATCATTGAATGACTCTCCATACCATCGTATAATTTTGAACGAGTTTTTTTTTGTCTGAATTTTAAGCGCAATATTATTTAATTATTTTAAGGAATAAAGCTCATTAGAGATGTTTAAATAGTGCAAAAGTATGTGCAAACCATAATACCATTTGAAAACAGTGAGGAATATAAGAAATCAATAGTGAAATGACGGAAAATTAGAGTGAAAAGAATTGATTCAAGAAATTTGTGTAAATCACTTAAAATACCATGAAATTAAGTAAAAGCTGTCAAATAAAGTGCATTTGTGTTCTATCAATTCCAAAGTATTTTATAAATAAATTAATTTAACTAGTGAATGCAAGAAAATTAATCTATAAGGTGCAAAAAGAAATTTATATAAGGATCAGACAAAAAATAGTGTTTGACCATTAAAGTGAATAAGTTAAGGAATATAGATAGATTTATAAAATTCAAATAAGATGGCAAGAGATTACGATCATCTCTTCAAGCTGTTAATTATAGGCGATTCAGGCAAGTGATTTTGCTATCATAAACCTCCTTATTTTAAAATTATTAATGTGGGCGAGGCTTTTTTGCTAACTTCAATTTTTTTTCATCCACATCAAACCTCCAAAAAAATTGCCATTCTCATTATTTTTTTATGAATTCAATCTAATTTACTGCATACATTTTTGTAGCATCAAATGAACATCATGACGTTATTATTATGAGTGTAACGATGCTTAATGAAAATTAAATTATTCAGATAGCACGACTATTCCTTTTGTTTTCATTTAAAGTCCAAGATAATATCCACTTTAGGCAAATTTTCTTGTTTATACGTTGAAATTTAAGGCCAATAATACGTGTGCAAACACAAAGGAAAGAGGAGTATGACTCATTAATAAATTTCTTAATGTGCCGTTTTGCTATTCCATGATTCGTTAAGAATAATCTCTTTTCATTCTTTTTTTTTCTTTTCTACCATTCCGTTCACTTCCTTTGTGTCATCATCGTTAGTGCAAAGTTCTCTCAATCAGTATATTTCTCTAGTTTTGCAAATTCCAACCAAAACAATGCATAAATGATGATACTCTTTATCAAGACTCCTTTACGCCTGCAACTTTTTATTATTACATTCCGTATAAATGAGTTATGAGTAGAAAATTTTATTTTCATACCTCATACTTCTACTACAATTTCCATCATTTATTACATATTACAAATTCAAGAGTGTTTGTGAGTGTCATATTAGAGAAAATAAAATAAAATATAATAATAGTATAACATAAACTAGTGTATCGGATAGATACATACCCAATGCGAATATGTTCACACCGTATCATCGAAAACTACGTCGATAGACCAAGCTTCGCTCAGCATATTTTTGAAGTTATAATGCTTGAAGAGTTTTCTGAGCTTCGCATCAGCATATGTTTGAAGGTTTAAAGCTTATTAAATATGCCAAACATTTTCGTATTAAGAAAGGTTTTTGCTTTTTTATGAAGCAACGACTGTTCATACCTTGCCCAAAAACAATACAGCTCTTCTACAAAGCAGCACGGGTCGATAGTGAAAAAAACTATAAGAACTCAACGATGTCTCGTTGTTGAGAACTTGCTTCCTTGCTTGTTTACCTCAACTAATTTGAAATCTGTTTATTTGCAGATGTGAAATTTCAGGCACAAACTTTTCATTTTAGACTATGTGCAGCTATCTTGCTCCATTTCCTTACAAAATTCAAAAAACGTGAATACGGTGTGAATATAACAAAAGCTATTTTCTCTCATGATCAAAACCATTTTTGTAAGATAATTATCTAAAAACGATACGATACATGTGTTGTTGATTGCAGCTACCATCATATTCTACTTCTTTTTTTATATTTTTCATTTGTGTTTTTTCACTGCTACTCTTGAGTGGTTTTGGTCATGTTTTAGTCACAATATGATTTTTACATAATTATATATTCTCTCATTTCGTTTTTAGTGCTATTAGTCAAGCAGTTTGAAATAAATATTTTTCTCTCTCTTTCAAGTCTAAGCTTCATCTTATCATCTCATGCATTTCCTATAAATTAACAAATACAGATGAACGATCTTATAAAGAAAACTGTGTATTTGTGAAAAATTTATTTTGCTGTTATCTAATCAGAAGCATTATTATTTTTGAAGTAATATTACTAATTTAATATAATGTTTTCTAATTGTGCTGTATTTGCATTTAATAAATCATGATTAAGTTTATGTAAAAGGAATTTCTTACTGTGTCACCTAACGACAATTTAATTGACCGAAATTATTTATGGCTCATAGCTAGGGTTACCATCTAGTTTTTATGAAAATACAGGACATTTGGTAAATTTTTTCGAAAAAAACAGGACATAGAGTAAAATTCGAAAATTAACGGAAATTTTCATGAAAAAAATACAGGACCAGGAACAAAATTTAAAAATTTATACAGGACAGGGTTTTGAAATACAGGACTGTCCGTTGTAAAACTACGCAGATGGTCACCCTACTCATAGCTAACCGAAAACGTCATCGTATTTTTTTTTCGATTTATATTGTCTGTATGGTTCGCATTTTCGCCGGTTTTCTCAAATATCATTATTTAATAAATTTATTTATTATATTTGTAGTAGAATTTGATTCACTTACACATTATTACGGGTGCTGTAAGTTTAATATTTGTATTTCGATTGAGGAATTCATGATGTATGATGCATGCAAACGTTGTGTCACGGCACACAAAATTCAATTTCTCAGACATTTCAAATGCTCATGGTGCTTGAACCGCGAAAAAAGTTTTTGTTTTTGGTATGATATTACGAATTATGGATATAATAAGTGAATTAATTTTTGCCGTTTTGACAGTAAAACTGAAAAAATAAGAATCTCTAAGCATGATTAATTAAATACTTAATAATGAAATGAGATTAGATTACAGCCAAAGCTTAGCGATTAGTTTCGAAATAGGGACCATAACACAAACTTAAATATTTAGTACCTATTTAAAGATACAGTCGATAAACAGACTATCAAGTGGATAGTTGTATATTCAATTAAAATTTCATTCACATGATGGTTGTGCATTATGAAAAGATTTATGTTTATATGAGTGCTTCTATTATTTAATACATAATTATGTAAATAACTTTAAAATAGATTTTCATTTTCATTTTGATTTAATAATAAAAGAATTTTGGATGAAAATGAAAATATCATTCAATACCATAGAATAAAATGAGGGCAATGCGCACGAAGAATCAAGTTTTTGCAATTTAAAACTGATGACCATGAATCATTTGAGCAATTTCTTTGGGCATCGACGATTTTTTTTAGGAATTTCTTTAAAATCTCAATAATAACTCCAAAAAAAGTAAAAACAGTTAAAATGTTTATAAATAATTTTTTTTTGTCTAAGCCTTATTAATTTTAGATTGTTTACATGATTAGAAATAAAATTAATAAGAGTGCTAAAGGATGCCGAAAACTGATCAGAGAAAATATGTGAAGCATTGCTAATCGAATGAGAAATCAAAAAAAATAATAAAACTAGTGTATCGGGTAGAAACCCAATGCGGATATATTCACACCGTACCATCAAAAGTCTTATGGAAAGACCAAGATTTGCTCAGCATAAGTTTGAAGAGTGGGCGTGAAGTACGGCCGAGACCAAATTTATAAAATTTTGGTCTGACGACATATAGAATACATTTCTTGCTTTAGATATTTAAAACTGTTTTGTATAAATATTAGTATACTCACACAAAGTTTCACTGTAATTGGATAAACCTTCGAAGAAAAAAGTGAAAAACTAGATTTTGACTAGGGTCGCCCCTAGTCCAAAATTCAAAATGTATTCCCTTCTTGGTTCTTTGCTCAAAAAAATTTTAGGATGTTTTATTTGTATTTGTTTTAAGCACTAGAATATTTAGGTAAAGTTTCAATAAAGAGTCGCCCCTAGTCCAAAATTGAAAATGTATTTCCTACTTGGTTTTTTGCTCAAAAAAATTTTAAGATGTTTTATTAGTATTTGTTTTAAGCATTAGGAAATTTAGACAAAGTTTCAATCCATTTGGAAAAACCCTCGAAGAAAAAAGTGACAAAATTGATTTTGACTAGGGTCGCCCCTAGTCCAAAATTGAAAATGTATTTCCTACTTGGTTCTTTGCTCAAAAAAATTTTAGGATGTTTTATTTGTATTTGTTTTAAGCACTAGAATATTTATGCAAAGTTTCAATCCATTTAAAAAAACCCTTGAAGAAAAAAGTGACAAAATTGATTTTGACTAGGGTCGCCCCTAGTCCAAAATTGAAAATGTATTTCCTCCTTGGTTCTTTGCTCAAAAAAATTTTAGGATGTTTTATTTGTATTTGTTTTAAGCACTAGAATATTTTTGCAAAGTTTCAATCCATTTGGAAAAACCCTCGAAGAAAAAAGTGACAAAATTGATTTTGACAAGGGTCGCCCCTAGTCCAAAATTGAAAATGTATTTCCTACTTGGTTCTTTGCTCAAAAAAATTTTAGGATGTTTTATTAGTATTTGTTTTAAGCATTAAGAAATTTAGACAAAGTTTCAATCCATTTGGAAAAACCCTCGAAGAAAAAAGTGACAAAATTGATTTTGACTAGGGTCGCCCCTAGTCCAAAATTGAAAATGTATTTCCTCCTTGGTTCTTTGCTCAAAAAAATTTTAGGATGTTTTATTTGTATTTGTTTTAAGCACTAGAATATTTATGCAAAGTTTCAATCCATTTGGAAAAACCCTCGAAGAAAAAAGTGACAAAATTGATTTTGACTAGGGTCGCCCCTAGTCAAAATTGAAAATGTATTTCCTACTTGGTTCTTTGCTCAAAAAAATTTTAGGATGTTTTATTAGTATTTGTTTTAAGCATTAAGAAATTTAGACAAAGTTTCAATCCATTTGGAAAAACCCTCAAAGAAAGAAGTGACAAAATTGATTTTGACTAGGGTCGCCCCTAGTCCAAAATTGAAAATGTATTTCCTCCTTGGTTCTTTGCTCAAAAAAATTTTAAGATGTTTTATTTGTATTTGTTTTAAGCATTAGAATATTTTTGCAAAGTTTCAATCCATTTGGAAAAACCCTCGAAGAAAAAAGTGACAAAATTGATTTTGACTAGGGTCGCCCCTAGTCCAAAATTGAAAATGTATTTCCTACTTGGTTCTTTGCTCAAAAAAATTTTAGGATGTTTTATTTGTATTTGTTTTAAGCACTAGAATATTTTTGCAAAGTTTCAATCTATTTGGAAAAACCCTCGAAGAAAAAAGTGACAAAATTGATTTTGACTAGGGTCGCCCCTAGTCCAAAATTGAAAATGTATTTCCTACTTGGTTCTTTGATCAAAAAAATTTTAGGATGTTTTATTTGTATTTGTTTTAAGCACTAGAATATTTATGCAAAGTTTCAATCCATTTGGAAAAACCCTCGAAGAAAAAAGTGACAAAATTGATTTTGACAAGGGTCGCCCCTAGTCCAAAATTGAAAATGTATTTCCTACTTGGTTCTTTGCTCAAAAAAATTTTAGGATGTTTTATTAGTATTTGTTTTAAGCATTAAGAAATTTAGACAAAGTTTCAATCCATTTGGAAAAACCCTCGAAGAAAAAAGTGACAAAATTGATTTTGACTAGGGTCGCCCCTAGTCCAAAATTGAAAATGTATTTCCTCCTTGGTTCTTTGCTCAAAAAAATTTTAGGATGTTTTATTTGTATTTGTTTTAAGCACTAGAATATTTTTGCAAAGTTTCAATCCATTTGGAAAAACCCTCGAAGAAAAAAGTGACAAAATTGATTTTGACTAGGGTCGCCCCTAGTCCAAAATTGAAAATGTATTTCCTACTTGTTTCTTTGCTCAAAAAAATTTTAGGATGTTTTATTTGTATTTGTTTTAAGCACTAGAATATTTTTGCAAAGTTTCAATCCATTTGGAAAAACCCTCGAAGAAAAAAGTGACAAAATTGATTTTGACTAGGGTCGCCCCTAGTCCAAAATTGAAAATGTATTTCCTACTTGGTTCTTTGCTCAAAAAAATTTAAGGATGTTTTATTTGTATTTTTGTAAGCACTAGAATATTTTTGCAAAGTTTCAATCCATTTGGAAAAACCCTCGAAGAAAAAAGTGACAAAATTGATTTTGACAAGGGTCGCCCCTAGTCCAAAATTGAAAATGTATTTCCTACTTGGTTCTTTGCTCAAAAAAATTTTAGGATGTTTTATTAGTATTTGTTTTAAGCATTAAGAAATTTAGACAAAGTTTCAATCCATTTGGAAAAACCCTCGAAGAAAAAAGTGACAAAATTGATTTTGACTAGGGTCGCCCCTATTCCAAAATTGAAAATGTATTTCCTCCTTAGTTCTTTGCTCAACAAAATTTAAGGATGTTTTATTTGTATTTGTTTTAAGCACTAGAATATTTTTGCAAAGTTTCAATCCATTTGGAAAAACCCTCGAAGAAAAAAGTGACAAAATTGATTTTGACTAGGGTCGCCCCTAGTCCAAAATTGAAAATGTATTTCCTACTTGGTTCTTTGCTCAAAAAATTTAAGGATGTTTTATTTGTACTTGTTTTAAGCACTAGAATATTTTTGCAAAGTTTCAATCCATTTGGAAAAACCCTCGAAGAAAAAAGTGACAAAATTGATTTTGACTAGGGTCGCCCCTAGTCCAAAATTGAAAATGTATTTCCTACTTGGTTCTTTGATCAAAAAAATTTTAGGATGTTTTATTTGTATTTGTTTTAAGCACTAGAATATTTATGCAAAGTTTCAATCCATTTGGGGAAACCCTCGAAGAAAAAAGTGACAAAATTAATTTTGACAAGGGTCGCCCCTAGTCCAAAATTGAAAATGTATTTCCTACTTGGTTCTTTGCTCAAAAAAATTTTAGGATATTTTATTTGTATTTGTTTTAAGCACTAGAATATTTTTGCAAAGTTTCAATCCATTTGGAAAAACCCTCGAAGAAAAAAGTGACAAAATTGATTTTGACTAGGGTCGTCCCTAGTCCAAAATTGAAAATGTATTTCCTACTTGGTTCTTTGATCAAAAAAATTTTAGGATGTTTTATTTGTATTTGTTTTAAGCACTAGAACATTTTTGCAAAGTTTCAATCCATTTGGAAAAACCCTCGAAGAAAAAAGTGACAAAATTGATTTTGACTAGGGTCGCCCCTAGTCCAAAATTGAAAATATATTTCCTACTTGGTTCTTTGATCAAAAAAATTTTAGGATGTTTTATTTGTATTTGTTTTAAGCACTAGAATATTTATGCAAAGTTTCAATCCATTTGGAAAAACCCTCGAAGAAAAAAGTGACAAAATTGATTTTGACAAGGGTCGCCCCTAGTCCAAAATTGAAAATGTATTTCCTACTTGGTTCTTTGATCAAAAAAATTTTAGGATGTTTTATTTGTATTTGTTTTAAGCACTAGAATATTTTTGCAAAGTTTCAATCCATTTGGAAAAACCCTCGAAGAAAAAAGTGACAAAATTGATTTTGACTAGGGTCGCCCCTAGTCCAAAATTGAAAATGTATTTCCTACTTGGTTCTTCGCTCAAAAAAATTTAAGGATGTTTTATTTGTATTTGTTTTAAGCACTAGAATATTTTTGCAAAGTTTCAATTCATTTGGAAAAACCCTCGAAAAAAAAAGTGACAAAATTGATTTTGACTAGGGTCGCCCCTAGTAGGGTTTGAGGAATCTGTTAACAGAAAACAGAAAAACAGCTGTTTTTCGACAAAAATCATTATCAAATTTATGGTTAATCATTATTAATTTTGCAATCGAAATTTTAAATTTGTTGAACCTTTTGTAGCATTTACTAAAGTTTAAAAATATAATCAACAATTTTACAAGATATTTTTTTATTCAGAAAGATTTTTTGAATATTTCAAATAAAATATTAGAGCTTATGGAACTTTTACAATGCAACAATGCAATGCTACTTAAAGGTATAAATTTTTTTGGATTTTTTTTTGGATTTTTATATTTCATTATATTTTTTAGAATAAAGCATATCTAAAATGTATGCTTAACTGCTTATAACCACCTGCTTATATCTTAGAGAAACACTTAGGATAACTCAGTTTATTTTGAATTCTAGAAAAACGGGAAAACAGCTGTTTTTAAAAATCAAAAACCGAAAACAGACTGTTTTTCAAAAACAGCTGTTTTTCAAAAACCGTAGCCCCTATTCCAAAATTGAAAATGTATTTCCTTCTTGGTTCTTTGCTCAAAAAAATTTTTTTCATCCAAAGTTTAATTTAAAAAAAATCACAGTGAACTTTTAATTTGAAAAATTCGTAAGAAAGGAAAGTTTTATGCTTTTTCTGAAGCAACGGCTGTTCCTAACTTGCCCAAAAACAATACAGCTCTTCTATAGAGCAGCACGGATCAATTTTAAAAAACTAGAAGTCTCTACGATGTCTCGTTATTGAGATTCCTTGCTGATTAACTTGCTTGTTTGCTTGTTTGCTTGCTTACAGAAAGCATATTTTGCGATTTTCTCAGCAATACCGCAACCAATTTGAAATCTGTTTTTTGCAAAAGATGTGAAATTCAAGGCACAAATTTTCATCTCTGAACATTTTAAGCTATTTTGCTCCATATCCTCACAAAATTCTAAAAACTGATTTTTCAATCTGAACAAAACCAATAGATTCACACGGGGCCGTTCACTTATTACGTTACGCAAAAAAACGATTTTTTCACCCCTCCCACCCCTATTGTTACAATATCTTACAACTCACAACCCCCCCCCCCCCCCCCTGAACGTTCATAATTTATTTTATTTTGATAATTTTTCATAAATCATTAAAAATGTGGAAAATTTAAAAAAATGTTTTTGGTGTAAATTTGTAAACAAATTTTTTTGGTGAACTTTTTTTTAAAAGACAGAGGACAGTTAGAACGTTACATACTTCTTGACACTTCCCCCCCCTCCCCCCTAAAATGCGAACGTAATAAATGAACGGCCCCCACGTGAAAACGGTGTGAATATAATAAAACAGCTTATGAGCTAAGAGGGTTGAACGAACGACTAGGTGTTAGATATATAATTTAAAATCGATGATGTTGTCTCATATACTTGCTGCCTATTTGTCTACACGATATACATTTTTTGTTTGTTTTTATTTCATAATTTTTGTCTCATTTATTCATTGAACTCTAGTCTATAATTTTGCAAAAACATATCTGAAAAAATTGTATTTGTCTTAATTTCTAGGTGTTGGAAAGTCATCACTATTAATACGCTTTTCTGACAATACATTTAGCGGGAGCTATATAACAACAATTGGTGTTGATTTCAAAATACGGACAGTTGTCATTGGGGGTGAACGTGTAAAATTGCAAATTTGGGACGTAAGTCAATATTTCTCATTCATTGGTAATTAAGTCTTTAAAAAATTTCTTTTCATTCATCATTTTCGCATTATGCACAGACTGCTGGACAGGAACGTTTCAGAACAATAACAAATACGTAAGACGTGATGTGACTAAAAAATTATTTAAGACTGATTTTTCAAGGTTTTCTCTTCTCTTCTTTCTTTAGATACTATCGTGGAACACATGGTGTTATAGTTGTATATGACGTAACAAATGGAGAATCATTTGCAAATGTGAAGCGATGGCTGCAAGAAATTGATTCAAATTGTGAAGTTGTAAATAAAGTTCTTGGTAAACGCTTAATTGCAACTTTTTTTCTTACTCAATCTTTAATCTTAAAATTATTATTTTAGTCGGAAACAAAAATGACGATCCACAGAGGAAAGTGGTATTAACAGAAGATGCCCAACGATTCGCTAACCAAATGGGAATTCAACTGTTTGAAACATCCGCCAAAGATAATTTGAATGTAGAAGAAATGTTCTTAGCGATAACTGAGAAAGTACTACGCCATAAAAAACAAACTCAACGTCAACAGATTGAGCAGGAAAGTGAGGGAAGAATTAAAGTTAACAATTCGAGAGATCAAAAGAAAAAAAAGAAATGTTGCTAGTTAATTTTATGGAAAAAACTATTGAGAATGTCATCAAAATCATTTTGTACATTTTTTATATGTGAAAGAATGAACATTTAATATTTTTTTTAAAAAATACATTAATCGCATGAAAAAAGAATGATTGGTGATGATTAGAAACTTTAAAATTTCAATATTCAGATGACTATAAATCTTCATTTCATTAGGTATTGAACTACTACATTTCTTTCTTCCATCTACATAAGATCTATAAAAAACTAATAATTATATATTTTTACGATCCCAATATTTTTGTCATGACTTCATTTATTTTCATAATTGATGCGCAATTCATTATGTTTGTGTAAATAAACTTAAATAATCATGATGCTTTAAAATAATCAAATTAGAAGTTTTAGATAATTGAACTAAAATAATTTTATTCCTCCCGTATACCAATCGCTCTATTGACAATGAGTTTTAAATTCCATATCAACGATGAAAATAATGAATGATTCGAATATATTCCAAACAAAAGTATTTAAATTTATTTCAATTTCCAACTTTGTCTTTGTGTTGTTAACAAATTTTTATTTTATTTCCATTCTCATCCGAAATGTGTTGTACAATCTGCATTTTTCATGTAGAAATTATTTCCTAGTAGGTTCTGATTTTCTTTTTCATCAATGTACTCGTATTTGCTTAGAAGCATAAAAACTGAAGAATGAATGAATGAAAGAGGTACGTCAATGATTAAAAAATGGGAAATTGAAATCATAAAAAAATAGTTATATTTAAATTTGATACACAAAATAGTACTTTACAAATAAAGAGCCGATTAAAATTGACTGTTTTCACTTTCTCTGGTACTAAGCATAACTTTCATTTCAGAATTTTACGTTATGCGTTATGAAAACTTGATAAAAATTTATACTTTAGGAACAACATCATCCTCGATATCTGCAACAGTTTCATTGAACTGCTTCAACAATGATCTTGAATATCTTGCAATTGGCAATGTTCTTGATTGTCGACAGCTAACTTTTGCGTCACCAGAAAATCCATTTGGGCACGTACATACTGCTAAATGGTTCTTTGGGCTACATATAGCAGAGATTCCACATTTTCCGATGCATGGATCAACGCAAGCATAATTTATGCAAGCACGATTGTCAGGACATTCTTCATTAGCTAAGCATTCTCCACGCTGACATGATCTTAGAGCGTTTCCTATGTAAAGTGAATTAAAATTCTAGAATTGAAATTGCATTGAAAAATTTCTGGTATGTCACCTGTATATCCAGCAGGACAGCTATAAACAAAAATATTTAAAATAAATAATTGAAATACTATAAGTTGAACTTATTAAGTTCTTTAGAAATCGAAATATCTTGTTAATTTAAGCATAAAAACCTTTTCGTTTGAATTCGTGAGCTAATGCAATAAGATGAGCTTTAAACGTTTAAATTTTTAAAATTTCGACATGTATGTTTTGAAGTAATCAAGTAATTAGGAACCAAGAAGCACAAATTATGTCAAAAAAGGTTCATGATATTGTTGGTAGATTCAAAACTGTACATGTGGTTGAAATTTCAGCTCTTTTGGACAATCATAAGTGATTTCATTAAATAAAATTCTATTATGCTTATGAGCGCTACGTTACTTCATATAACTTGGATAAATTTTTTACGCACCTACAAACTGGTCTTTCTTTTCCTGTATTGTCATGTCCTGGTGTGCATATAGCATTTGATCCGCAACTTTAAATAATACAGTTAAAACATTTAATTTATATAAAAGCCATCAAGTACAAAAAAAGTAAACAACTTACGGATTTGGTCTACATAAATCTTCAGGAACAAACGGTCTACATGAAACAAAAGGATCACCAGTCATGTGCTTTGGACAGCTACAAATTGGAGTCAATCCTCTTAAATTGCAATTGGCGTTGACGCCACAAGCGCCTTCACAAAGATTCTTACAAATTCCATAGATGCAAGCTGGTTTAGAAGATGGACAATCGACATCGCCATAGCATTCTGGTCGACATTCAGTAAATGGTGAACCAATGTATGTTTTAGGACACTCGCACTGTGGACGATGATTGATGACTCCATTACATAAAGCACCCTTTCCACATTGTTCACAGGCACTGTAGCACTTGAAGTTTTTGCAATATTGACTAGAACCGCAATCGTGATCACTTTCACATTCATGATTGCATCCAGTTATTGGATTTCCTTTAAACGAAGCTAAACATGTGCAAACAGGTTGTTCATTTTCAACCCTACATTGCGTGTTGACGCCGCATGGTGATGGATGGCAGGCTTCATCTAAAAATCGTCGAAAAAAAATGTGAGAAGGATACAGCCACAACCATAATTCTATAAAACACATGAAAGATGTAATGAAAATATTTATATTTAAATAAAAGTGATGATGCAATAAGCGTAAAGCCGCAACAGATCGTCCAATTTTGGTAATGCATCAAAAATGTAGAAATAAAGTCACCAAATAAATTACTAATCAAGGTCGGAAAACGACTTATACATATATTTTGAATTTGATTCTGTTATTCAAGTTTACTCACGTGCTGAGCAATTTTTTTTTTCCTTTAGCTTTGTAAATTGAGTTACGGGGGTGGTTAATAAACTTATAAATTTATAAAAAAAATTCAGTGAGCTATTATTAATTATATTTCGCCTCTTTATGAAATTCTTACGGAAATCAATAATTAAGTGTCTAAGAATATTAAGAGAACAGAATGAAAGACTACACAATGAGAAATAAATGTGACATCTCGTCAAAAAGAATTTTCATTAAAATGATATTTAAGCCAGTGTGGGATGGGAGCTAAAATATAGATTGAATTAAACTATAGAAATATATAATGCCCGAATAAAAGAGTCATCCGATAGAGAACGATTTCATGGTCAATTTCAAGGAAGGAAATTGAAATTTCAAGATCAAGAACGCAGTAGCAAGTCTAGCATTCGTGCATTGAACGTAAATCATAGTTGGTGGTATTTGAATTATTGCTGTATTTTAATTATAGAGAAATGTAAAAAGAACAGCTGACTGAATGAATGGGTAAAGGTAAGCGTGGGTTAATATAAATATCTCCGGTCTTGTCTTGCGAAAATCGTTAATAAAAGGCATTATTGCAATGTGATCGACTCTTAAACAAATCAGATTAACGCAATTACGTAATAAAAGCAATCTTCAGACTTAACACTTTAAATGTAAGATGGTAGGTTTTTATTAACATGCAAAGAGTGGAATTTGCTATATTACTAAATGAATTTTAAGAAAAATAAGCATATATTTATAATATGAAGAGTGGAATAATGCGATTGAGAAGAATAAGGAAGTAATTGAAAGAGGTACCTACCTGGATCAATGGCTCTACATTGATGGAGCGGATCTCCTCGATATCTTGCTGGACAAGAACAAACAGCAACATGATTCACTACTTCACAATTGGCACCGATTCCGCACTTTCCAGCACAAGGATTCGTACATCTAGTAAGAATAAAGTTAAAATCAAGTTTTGATACATCATTCGGACGTCTAAAGTCACCTATTATTCATGCAATGTTGATCTAATCTGCAATCAATGTGATCATTGCATTCTCCTTTTTGGCAGTAGCTGAGTGGGTTGCCTGAATAGTTAATTGGGCAGCTATATTAAAGAAAATAAAAAAATAGAAGCACGTTACAAAGTGGATCAGTAAATGTGATATAAACAAGAGTGTTACACACCTACAAACGGGTCTTCCTCCCAAAGTTTCTTGGCATATAGCGTTTTGACCACATGGGTTCCTTGAACAACCCTGACCTGTGTAAATTTATGTCATTTATTTTAATTTGAATTATATTTATTGTATATCTTGTTCCTACCATTCTTAGTTTATTATATTTAATCTTTTTAAAAAAAAATTAGGAAAGCATACAAAAAATGGTAGAAATTTAAATGATAAAGCATTAAAAATTAGTAAAAGCGTGCCTCTATATTGTGCATCATTTAAGCTATTAAATTGCTGATAACTCGTTCCTCCATTAAACACTGTTGATGTTACAATTCTATCCTCATATCTATTTCCTTCCTTGTTAATGTATTTTGTTACTGTTGTTATCTTTAATTTATTTGTTGCATAAATTGTACATTTCAATTAATAATAAAAACACACAGGAATTAAGCGAATTAATCAATTAATTACCGTATCACCATTTTGGAAATTTTTCGTTTCTTTACCGTATTCCATACCTGATACCAGTAAAACATTTGTAACCGATATTAAAACGGCAATAATGCCAAAGACCTGAAAAAGATTTTTTTTTCAAAAATAATAAAATTAAAGATTTTGTCAGACCAGGTGTCACAATCATTAATGATAAGTTTGTATTTAATAGTGCCGACAATTCAATAAAAAAGAGTCTATAATTCACACCATAACTTTGTGTGATTCTCCGCAAATCTTTAAGCGAATTAATTCATTCATAATCTCTTGTTTATTAATGTTTTGATATGCAGACCCGACGTGATTTTTTACGAGTAAGTTTTGATAAAAATGAAACACCTTTTCGGCAGGCAGTTTGAAGTATAGATCGCAGAAAAATTTCAATAAATACACAATGATTCAGATTTGAAAAAAATGTTCAAAAATTCAAAAATATCAAGTTAATTAAACTATATGTTTTAAATGCTAGATTAAAGAACATGATTTGTTTTATATTCTGTAAAAATATCTCATTCCAGTATGTTGTCTAACTTACAAAAATTCGATTCTAAGATGACAATAAATTTGTTTACAAAATGACAACAAATATTTTTCTTAATTTTTTTCTCCTTTCTACTTCTAATTTCTTGTTTTAATGCTGATAACTAGCTAAATTAAGCTTAGTACTTTGTGTTTGTGTGAAGAAACCAAAGGAAAACCTATTAATTGGGCGAATATTCATGATTAATTTTTTTGAAATTCACCAAGACTTTAAACACTCATAAGTTGAATTCGCGTCTCTCCGCTTCTACCAAACCTATTAAAATCCAAAGAATAGAGTCCAATTAACCTTCCATATTAATGTGTACATGCCCAAATATGCCCGAAGCGAGATATTTGCGATTGAAAATCAGTAAATTTTTCATACAAATTACTATCGTGCGCCAAATTTTTTGATAAACATTCGTAAAATTTGTAAAAAAAACTTATTTATCCTCAATTTCATGACTTAATATTTTGAGGAATCAATAATCAAGTAAGATTAACGGCATTAAAAGTCCTAAACTAGAGAATATCAACAAAAAATTTCATTCCTTCATTGTGTCTGAAAAATATTATGCACAAGAGTTATTTGAACATTTTTTTCAAATCTGAATCATTGTGAAATAGATAATTTATGATTCATCTGGTATTATTTCTCTTTCATTAGTGAAAGATCATTATGTCTTTCCCTCCTATCTGAATTTTACCGACAAAATAGTCTTATTAAGACATCGCACCACCGCATTGTTCTAATTCCAGAAACATCCTGTTTGGATATTTTTTAAACTTTAACAAGGCTTGTTCTGTATATGACTATGTTGAGGTCAATCATACATCATCTTATACAGTTCATTTTGAGTGGGAAACACCCATCAATCTGTCATGGTAAAATGGTGTATTATGACAATGCACAAATCTGCATTTTCATCTTCAATCACATTAATTTCTTCCTTTTTTGTAACTTTCGCCTTTTCTACACTCATTTAAATCTTTTTATTACTTTTTGAAACTCACTAAAACGTCACTTTACAAAGCACAATCGACAATGTGGGACTATGCAAATCACTCTGATTGACTGCAAAATAGATTGTCGCTTGCTGACATGTTAATTAAACAAAATTAAGACTTATTGTGATACTTAGAATGAATTTTTGGATTCTATAATTGATAATTTCCTTAATTATTTAACTCTATTAGTTCGAGAATCAACGTGTGGTCTGCACGAGTTTGCAATATAAATTGATTGGAATTTTTAAGAACAGCGCTGTTAATGAAATTTGTAAAATATGTTTTAATCATTGGTAATCTTTCGCACCTTAATCATATTGACTTTAAATTTTTATTAATCTCCTTCTTGGTAGATGGCTTCCTGTAATGGCAGTTGTAACAATATCACTCACTAATTTGAAGAAAAAAAAATCACTCACAGCAAGAACGTTTTGCTTTTTCGATTGAATGTAAACTGTTGACTAAACTCACCAACTGATGAGTCTCATGAATTTATACTATTTTTGATCGTGAGCGAGAACAAGCTCTATACACATGAACTTGCCATTGCTTTTCTGCCAACAGTTTATCGATTTCATCATTGTTGCTTTTCATCTGTTCAATGCGTTGTCGCTTTGTTTTGTTTTGCTGATCTTCTTAAAAACTTTTAAGTCTCTTTTTATATTTTCTCGTTTCTTGCCAGAAAATCTTATCGACGTCACAGCAGTGGTGCTATAATCGGCACAATGATAAGTAAAATTTGTTGTTTCATTAAAGAAGGGTGGTCTGTAGACAATTTTTTTATGATTAAAGAGATTATCTGTTATCAATACTTTTTTTTATTGTGGTCGGTGTCTTTACATGCTTATTGTGGCAGAATTATTTTAATAGCCTTGAAGAGATTTTGAACTCAACTTTTTTTATTTTTGACAAAAAATATTCTTTTACGGATTCTTTCCCAAAGACTTTATTTTTATTTAAAGAAGCTAAATGGAGGCTGATGGAAGTTGATTTAGATTCTTCGATAATTGCTCTCATTGTCTTTTTTTGAATATTAACTTTTCGTTTAAAGCAAAAATTTAAATTTCAAATCGATTCTTGCCTTCTCGCCACCTACAAGAAAGAGCTTCAAAATCTAATTTGAATTACTTAATAAAAAATATCGTTCAACATTATTTTTTCTACGACTTTTTACCTTATTAATCAATAGATGTGTAAAGCAATCTGGAAGTTAATTTTTTTTGTCGTGTTATCCACGAGACTATACTTTTATGGAAAGGAAAATTGTAACTTGATTTTGCTTTACAATGAAAAATTCTTTGCTTCATTGCAGTGGAATTTTTAATGGAAACAATTAAACGATGACAAGGAACGGTTTAAAGATGATGTAAAAAGCGGATGTTAAATTCTATAGTCAAAATGTGGAATTTATTCTGGAAAACCAATAATTCATATCTCAAGTTTATACGTAAATTAAAATGACTTTTTTACATTGAATTTAAATAAGTAGAATAGATTTATAAATGATCAGAAATACAATATTTATCAACTCTTGCTAATCCTTAAAATTGAAGATTTTATTGCTTGCTCATGTAAAATAATTGAGTAATTGTCAATTTTTTTCAATGTTGATTCTAATCTTTAATCAAATTTAGTTTGCACATTAAAATTCTATCGGAAGCTGCTCCAAAATATCCCCAAACAGTTTATTATAATAATAATAATGTCTTAATGTTGACAAGCAAAAATCAAAATCTCAAATGTCGCCCACTTTAATATTTATTGCTAGAAAATTTTGAAACAAAAAAGCTGTAGTGGAATTATAAGACAGTTTGTCGAATTCACGTCCACATACATACGCTTTTTTCTACAATAAAATTATAAATTATATTTATATTCTAATTCTCTTAAACAATATTTTACTGACTTCTAGAAATTTATTGATTTATATGAAAAAGGTGTGGAATTCGATGTCTTTTGAACGATGCCGAAATTCTGGCTTCATAGCGCCACTTGATAAATCAGCATACTCAATTTAAGTCTTTAAACTGATTTAAAATATTTTAATTTTGTGTTAAATTTGTATAATTTTTGAAGACAAGGAGCCGTAACAAGGAACAGTTGTATTCAAATAACTCATAGTTTCTTTTAACCAGAACAAATTCCTAAATGATTTAGAGTCAAAGATTAGAATGGTTTACCATATCAAGAGAAATATGAGCTTTTGTTGACCCAAACAAATTCAATCTCATATAAAATTCGAATTCTGCTGGAAACCTAGTAATGAATTAAATACTATCTTGAAAATCTGAAATTTAAGAATAATGAGAAAATTCGAGTATTTACATTTTTATATTATATAGAATTCTTTTATTTTACTTTTTATCGCATTTTTATAATAATCATCTTCTTTCTATAATGAATTTTCTTTTAAAAAGTTTTTTTTTCTTGTGTAATTATATTTCAACGCAAAAAATATATATTATATATGTGTTTAGGTATATAATTCGTTCATAGGATACATAATCGCAAGAGAAGAAAATCTTCAATTGTTGTGTGATTCATAAAGAGCAAAAATACAGTAAATTGAATGTGGAGAGAAAAAATTTTTGGATCATAGGAAAAATAAAATTGGTGCAAAAAATGTGGAAGTTAAAGAAATGATAATGAAAAATTCTACCATTACATAATACATTTATTCTTTTAGATTGCGTTAGCACAATAATTATACAACAAATAAAGAAAGATTTAATAGTAATAATAATAATTATATAAAATTGATTAATATTTTTTTTCACGTAAAAAAGGAATGCTAAATTAACTTCGATTGATTATTAAATATATATTTTTTTAACGATTTTTCATCCTGAAGATAAATAAAACATAATTAGAGTTAAACTTTGTTTATAGATGTTTTTCATTCATGCGAAAAATCGATAAACAGGAGAATATTTCTGGAAATTTTATCATCATTCTCGTCAATCTTTTTCTTAGAGAACTAGACATTTTCATGGAACTAATTAATAGTTATGCATTAAATTAATCAGAGAAAAAATATATATTGAAAGTTTTTGTTTTCTTTTTTCATGTTAATAACTCTTATATTTAGATAGTAATTATTTTAAACTAATTAATAGTTCTTTTTTTCTTCTTTTGTTGCTAAATGTTCTGTTTACATTCAAGTTCCATAATGAATCCCAACTTGTTATCTGTTTAATCAATCTTGAATTATTCATCATCATCATCATCTTTGAGTTTAACTCTTAAATACTGAAGACATTTCGTCGATCTTTTTTGTCATGCCAGATGTAAATGTGTCTTTATATAATTGCTTAATTATCTCTCTTTTTACAAAATCAATCGTTGGTTAAGCAATTTTTTTCCTCTAAAACTGAAGACACTAATTTTAGAAAAGTTTTTTCCTTTTTTTGTTGATTTGGTTGAATTTAAGAGTTCTTTAAATTTACTATGAAGCAGTATTTTTCATCACGATTAGTTTTAATTTTATTAAATGTATTTATTATATGATGTTATATTTCCCTATTGAATGAAAAGTTATATTTTTCTTTTCACATCTTTACTAAAACATTTTATTTTCTTTGATTTAAGATTTTTGTAGCTTGTAATTCCAAACCACATATTATTGTTTTATCTAAAATTTCGCTTTTTTGAATGTGAAGATGAGGAAATACACATGTTATTTACAGAGGGAGGCAATAAGGATGTTACGATGGTAAAATTTTATTAATTTTTACTTCTTTCGCTTTATTCAGTAACTTTTTTGTTTCTCAAAGGTCAATAAAGATTCACAATTAAAATTGCTGTAAACCGAAATAATCACATTAATATGTCTTTGCAGATAGAATTTGATATATGCCATTAACTTACCGTTTTATTTTATTAATAGAAATCTTAACAGAAGCGCGTTCGAAGTATTTTTTTGACTCAGTATTTTAATACAAGCCACCGCCTTTTATAATTTAATACATTTAGTTGAAAGATGCAAAGATGGATGATGACAATAAATAATATTACTATTATTAAGATTTGTTTTCTAATTACTGATTTTTGAATTTCTTTACATACCATAATTTTGGTATGGCATATTCGGAGCACTGCCATATGATGGCATATTTGGTGGAGCGGTATATTGAGGCGCACCATATTGATAAGCAGGCCCAGCAGTTAACATTAATTGTGGTTCTTGCATGATGATCGGTTTATGTTCTGTATTTTCACCTTCCTTCTCGCGTTCTGCATTTGCGGCTTCCAATTTGTCTACTTTTGTTGTATATTCCCTTATCACCTAATGAGTTAATAAAAAAGCAAGTAAATCAAATTTAATGTCTTTGCACATAAAACTGTTAGTATAAATCTTACATTGATTAAGAAGGGCATCGCAAAGTCCATAATATTGTGTCTCCATGCTAATTCGAGAATGACATCAGGTCTTAATAAATCATAACACTAAAATAAATGATTCGTTTATAAAAATTTGATATTAGCAAAATTAACTATTTAAAGATTATCTTACAGTATACAGGCATGCGGCGAAACAATCTTTAGCGCCACGTTCAAGGAACCATTGAAGCAATTCTTCTGCGATTTCTTGTTGATGTGATTCTGCTGCATATTCCATTGCGTCCTTAAAGAGTCGATCCTTTTTGCACAATTCAACGCTCTGCTTCCAGCGATTATTTCCTGCAATAAAAAGCGTGTAAAACAATTGAAGTTAGTTCGATACAGTAACAATTTAAACTCAAATATTTACCTTTGTAGAGATAAGCAGCAATACGACGGAATTCAGTCAATTCATGTTTCTCGAGTTTCTGTGCTAAAGCAATGTTATCAAAGTTATCAAATGCGTCAATAGATGTTCTAAGTCCTTGATAGTCTTCTTCATCAATTAAAAGTCCATTGAGTGCCTCATTAATAGCTTTGTTATTCAAACTTTGAACTGATCTCAAGTAAGGTTTGACGAGTTGAAGGTGTCCTGTTTTTGTAAAGAAGTTTACTGCTCTCGTATGGTCCATTCTTGGTGTCAAAACCAAAAGTAAATCGTTCAATAGAAGTGGTTTGTAATCCAAATAGAATTGAATTGCCTTGTAATAGAGCTCAATGTTGGCAACTTTTGTAATTATATCCTTAAAGTGTCCTTCACGCCATGCTTCTGTTGGATGTGCCATCATTGCCAAGACAGCATTATCATATTCTTCATATTTGTCATAAAGGAACACGAGTTCGCTCCATAAATGAGCTGATTCGGCAGCACGTAAAACTTTTGGAATATTAACACGAGACCAGAACAATTCAAGATGTTCGCGCATCTTTGCTGGCTTATATTTTGAATAAAGAATAGCCAATTCAGTAAACATTCCCATGTGAGCACGTTCAAGACCAAGTGCAGCTTCCAATAATCCAATCAATTCTTCAAAATATCCTCGATCCTGATAATAGTTGATTAAATCTTCCAATTCGTCGGCATGAACGACTATGTGGAGACCGCACATTTGTGCTAAACGGAACTCTTCTGAATCAACACATGCAAAACAAACTTCCTTCCAAGTTCTTGTTGAATTAGCCTTGCGTGCACCATCGACAGCTCCTTGGAATTCCTTTAAGTGCACTAAAGTAATTGCTAATCGTGCGAAATTGCTGACATTGTTGTACAAGAGTTTAGCAGCTTCATACATTTTATCATTAAAGCAGCGATCACCAATTTTTTGAATATCTGCATGATTTGGTCCACTAATGAACTCTTCTAAATCAGCTAAACGGCCAGTTCGTGCATAAGCATAGATTAATTCACTTTCAATGTAGCTTTCACGTGCCTTCTTGCGTGCCATTTGTAAATATCTTACAAGATCATCCCATGATTCATTCTTGCTCGCAACATCAACGACATCGATGTATGCTGAAGGATCATCAGCTTTAATAAAGCTATCAATAGCTTCTTTTACAAGACCTTGTTGTAATTGAGCACGCCCAAGTTGAGACCATACTGCAGACTCATTACAACGCTCAGCAAATTCATAAGCTCTTTCAAGATTATTAAGTTGTTCAATCAAAACTTGAATAGCACTTGTATTGACTTCGAATTTCTTGAAAATGGCAAATGCCTCTTCATACAAATGACTATTGATAGCAATGTTGGCAATATCTGGTGCATCATAATTATCAAGACGATTGATGTAATCCATAACACGAGAGCAATCAGCTTTAATAGCAGTTAAAATCAAAAGATTTTGCAAATTGCGATGATCAGAAAAGACTGATGAATCGAGTACAATTTTCTCAAGTAATTCAATGAGTTCATTAGGCAAATCTGCAGCCATAAATGCTTTGACTGTCACTGAAATATCTTCAGTGTCCTGAGTCTCGGAAAGCGCTGTCTGTACAACTTGATCGATGAGTTGACGCTTGTATGGATTAGCTTCTGACAAAACTTCTGCCCACAATTCTGAATCCTTTCGTTTTACCAAATAGCGTGCTTCTGTCTTAAATAATGAGTTCTCGTTACAAACAGCAATCAATTCACGATCACACGTTCCACGTTCATAAGCTACACAAGCTAAATGAGGATCACGTTTTTCACAATACTTTCCAACAACTTGACTATCATAGAATTGATTTTCACGCAAGAAACGTTCTGGATTATTGTTTGAGTCAATGTAAATCTTTGCTAAAGCATTATGAGTTGCTGGTTCGATGCAACCCTCATGAACTCTCGATTCCAACCACGGCAACAACAATTTTAAGCGATTTCTTTTCTCCACTTCTTCAACAAGTTCGTCTGTTGAGAATTGTCCCTTTACCACAAGTATCAAGTTCTTGATTATATCCTCAGAACAATCAACGTCTAAAAGTCCTCCAACAACTACAGGCAAACGTGATGGATTAACTTTTTGAACATAGATTTCAATATACTTTTGAAGACTGTTGCGATACAAATAAAGAACCAAATCATGGACGAAATCAAATCGATCGCAAACAATGATTAATGGAAGTTGATCGGTTAATTTTGCTTCCTTTAAAAAGTTCTTGACACGTTCAGGATGATAGCAGTTTGATTCACGACAAATACGTTCAACTTCCTTGATTTGATTTGTTTTGCATGCAGCTTGAATGTATTTGAAATGAACTTCAGAATCTTGAGAGAAATTCACGATAGATCCGAGGAAATAGAAAAGTCCTTCGTAGCTCTTAAATGATTCGAATAAATCGATTAATGATTTTGTTGTCAATTGTTCGTGATATTTTGTAGCGATTTGAACACAAATTTGCAAGTTTTGACGAATATTTGCTGTTAGCATAGCCTTTAAGCACTCCAATGAATCTTCAACTGAAAGAGTTCCAAAGAATCCAACTAACCAGTCACCGTTCAAAAGATGAGTATGAACAACAGCTCGCTTAATATCGTATAAATCAGTATAATGTTCTAAAGCGCGCTGTAAAAGTCCAGCTTTTTCGCACAATTGTGCAATGTGAGCACGATCGTAGTGTGTAAACATTGCATTTCCTAAAATTGCATCAGCAACTTGTGGTGCAGACATCAAATTCATTTCCAATAAACGTGTTTGTAAAGGACCTTCAGTGGGACGGTTATGTTTAAGTGCATCAAGCAAGAAGGCTGTACATTGTTGAACCATATTTTGTTCCATAAATATGTCAACAATTTGATTGATATCAGCTAAAGGCTCTTCTTCAGCTACTAACATTGCGGCAAAACTAGCTCCTTGTTCTGGATTTGTACGCATTACTGAGCGCAACAAGAAGACATAGTCAGGTGTATAATTAACTTTCTTTGCATACAATACAATCTTTTGGAATTGCCCAGTCTCAGCGAAACATTGAATGACTTTATTTGGAACGTTTGAACGCAGATAAATTGACAAGGCCAATGTCGGATCTGTAGGCTTAACTAAATCACCAAGTTCCTCACTACATTCGAGCTTTTGTTCTTTCAACCACTTTTCACACAATTGAATTCTTCCTTGAAGCAATACAGGACGACAAAGTTCCAATGATTCATACTTGTTTAATTTTCCTTGATCCAATAGAATTCCAAAGTACTGCAATAAAGGAGGTGAAGAACTTCCTGGTGCTGGTTGAACTTGTTGAAACTTTTGAATAGTTTGTGGTGTTCTTAAAATTCCTTTTGGTGCAACTGCAGCTACTTTGGCTGCTTCGGTGTATTGAGCATTTTGGAAAAGTTGATTAAATTTGCGCACAAAAAGATCTTCTGCGCCGCTCAAATTATTTCTTACCGCCATTCTCAAGGCTAAATCAGGATTTTGTAAGACAGTTGTAATATATGGAATAATTTGCTCCTCATCAACAGTAACAGATAATACTTGTCCCTTGCGATTAACGCCAATAATTCCTCCACTCAAATCATGAGGAGCTGTGACAAAGATTGTATCGGCTGAAATACGATTCATGTAAATACATGTTCCAGTTTCAATATCGTATAGATGAATATAACCATATTTTGTAATCAAATAAATAACATCATACTTAGGTGATGTTTGCATAGCAACTGGAAAGTCATTAGCTGCTTCTGGTGGAAAGAAAACATCGACAGTTTTCTTCGTGAATGGTTGATTATCCGTTGGTGGAGTTCCAACTTCAATAATGTGCAATTTTCCACCAGTTTGTGTACGAACTGCAAACGTAAAAATTGTTGATGTCTCCTTATTTCCCTCCATTTGAAACGTTGTAAACGCTGCGGCATGTCCCTCAATAGCTTGCGAAACTTTACGTTCTACCGAATACAATTGCATTGCACCAACAACACGATTTTGTTGTGCTGAAATTCCAATCAGCAATAACCATGACTGTTTTGGATCAGTACGATAATTTATTATTTGACAATTATTGAGAGATGAGTGACGTTCAAACATTTTTACTGGCTGTGAATCACCCTCCATCGACCAGTGGAAAACGCAAGTTTCCGTTACCAATGAAAGTGTATTTAGAGAAATCCATTTCCAGAATACAACATCCTCCGTCATTGTATGAGCTTTCATCTTCGATTTCATCTCGATATTAAAAATTTGAAGTGTCTTTTGGGCTTTCAATGCAATAACTTTACTTGCTGGATTCATAATTGCAGAATCCGCACTGATTGGACGGCGAATTGGATTTGCTGTATCGCTCATATCGATAATAACGACTTGAGCAGTTTCGCCTACTTTTTCGCGAACACAGATGAACTTATCTGATTCCATAGTCAAGTTGCTGAATGAAATTGATGAAGCTTGGATTCCAATACTTGTGAGCTACAATGAGACGAAGATAATGCATACATTATTTAACGTTAAAAAATAAATTCATTAATTTTCGCAAAATATGACATCATCTTTATTTCGCGTGAGAAATATCCAAATTTTTGTTTACACTAGAATTTTTTTTTGCTCTAAAGTTAGCATTAAAGTTTGAAAAATTTAATAATGCTGTCTTAAAAACAAATATGTTGCAGAAATTTCATTTCTTTGTGGGGCGTCATTGATATATTTAAAATTATCTTGAAAAAAAGAAACCATTAAAATAGCAGACACAAAAAGGAATAAAACTTGTTGGATATAAAAATGAGTGTGTTTGTTAAGGTTTCCATTTCATAAATGTTGGTCATTTGCTTTTCATTCCTATTTTACTCATTTCTCTGTTTCTGAACTTAATACGTCATAATTCATACATGAATATGATAAATAAATGGAGAAAGCTTCATTTCTGTACATAGCAATTATTATGCGAATGATATATGAACAGGTAGGTCACTAAATTGTAGAGCACACAAGTTCATTGATTTTTTATTTCACGAATAAGCACGTGAACCTTTTATAGATGGCAAATGTAATGGAGAAACAAATTTTACATAATTGCTGAAAAACATCAAAATGCCAGTTTCGTTTCAAATACATTGACCTAGTTCATTTATGCTGGAGACGAATAGTTTGTAATATTTTCAAGTACTTTTCACATCATTATCACTTTAGAGTAGTGTTAGATTTTTCATCCTTCAAGAATCACAAAAGGGATAAAGAACGCATAATTGAGACAATGTGGCGTTCGAACCATAATACTTCTATTACCATCTATTAGAGTCGTTCGAAAAGTGTGGACTATCAAGTTTAATTAAATTATGTAAAGCTACTAGCTATTTTCTTATTATTTAATATGTATTGTGTACAATGCATTACTGTGATATTCACATCCGGAACGTTTTATTCATATTATCAGGAAGGGCGAAAAAAACCAAAATCTGTTATACTTCCAGACTCTATGCTTATCTTGTGATTTTCCAAATGAATAAAACTGCCGGCTTAATTAGCATTTTTATGAATATTTTACACATTAATACAAATCTAAGCGGCATTTATTTTATATACGTGTGTGTTTTTGTGTACCAATGAATCACCAGTGCTGAGACATGTATGAACAAAAATTCGAAAGCATAAACGAATACACGTTTGGATACTTGTATTGTTAGCTTTTCTAAATAAACTAAAGGAATTACGTTCATTAAATATAGTTTTAGCACTGTAATCAATAAAAAAGGTTCAAATAAATTTCATTCAAGTGCAATTGCACTTTAAATGCAACAAAAAGGATAATAAACTTATTCAAAAAATCAATCGATAAGACTGAATTTAAAGTTCTCAACTTGAAATATATATTATCCATAGTTTGGAATAAAAGTATTCAAAATTTGCCGTCTTTACAAGTTTGGTGAAGACATATGTGAAAAAGCGAATTTTAAAAAAATACACATTCATTTTGCGCAAGTCTACCACAGACAATTATCAATGAATGACTCATTTTTTTATTAAACTTGATAAGAGATAAGACTGAATTTTAACTTTCGATCACTTCTCGATTATATGCAATAAGGATTGATAGAAAGTTTGTAGTTCATATTTATTGAGAGCGCAATAAATTAAATGCAATGGAACAAAAAAAGTTGCGAATGAGAGCATTGGCAGATTAATAAGCTATGCCCACTCATTTTCTATTCTTATCATCCAGAGTTCCATGATATTTTTTGTTCGTAATGATTAAAATTATCACACAAAGAACTGAAAAAACCATAGCGCTTAATAGTGAATCATTATCATCCAAAAGAGGGGCGTCTTTTTCTCAACTAATAAAGCTCGCCGTATTATTATGTATTCAGTATTCACAGAAATGATGATGAGGAACTTTCGTTTGAAAGGAGAGACAGAGACAGAGAAAAAAAAATGAAATAGTTAAGTAATTTTTTTTACCTGTAAATGCTCTTGAAAGCGAATCGGTAACGCCTGAGACATTTTGGATATTGATCTATGTATCTTTATGGATGAAAACGATGTATTTTTAGCACTTTTAATGTTAATTTACCACAAAATAAAATACAAATTATCTCTTTTCTATTTATTTCACACAAATATCTTTTTGACTGATGACCCAACAAAGTTACAAGACCCTTTTAGGAAAAGCTGTATTTTTTTTTTCTTTTTTCAACTTCAATATTTTCACAATTTTCTCACAATTTACAAATAACACAATTGAATTAACATAAATTTCATAAGCACTAATGACTTATTAATAGATTGTTCTTATTTTTGCACTTTTTTATAGCGTTTTTACTTCAAAAATTAAATTAAATTTGGTGATCTATTTTTGCCTGCTTTAGATGAAAAAGTGCCACCTAACGTTATTACCCGATTCACTTTTTCTTCAATTCTGATGCTTAATATATGAAAATAATTACACCGTTGGCAACACTAACTCTTTTGCCTCTAAAAATCACTAAGATTCTCTAATATTCCTCCTATTTATGAATCAAAACATTAATTAAACATTTACTTCTATAAAAATAAATTCAATTATTGTGAGAAAATTGAATTCAAAATAATAAAAACATCAATATTGTGTTATTTCTTAGTGCTCAAAACATACAGGTTCCTATCAGTTCCTATCCCTTCGATCCATAGACTCGCACACAAAATGTTGCTTACACAACTTAATGTAATTCGCTTAATAACAATTAGAAATATTGGTACAACGGCACAATGTCTAAGCCAAACAAGCATGAAGCAGATCAAAGTGATGAAAAAGATAATGGCTGGACGTGAAAAGGGAAAAAGGAGATGGGTATATAATGAGAATATGCCAAAAATGGAAAGTGCAACAAAGCTAAGTAGCACATTGAAGCAAGGCAAGGAAGCTAATAGAAGAGTGACTATTTTGAATAAACTTTTTATGAAGAACGTCACTGATTTGATGGCAACTGGAATGTTTGCTGAAAAGCTATACGGCTATGGATTACAAGTAAGTTTAAATAGCTGCATAGTGTAAATTTAATCAATTAATGATCCAAAACTATTTTAGATATCGACCGTGAAAGTAGCTGATGATTTCAAGAAATTGAACATATACTGGATAGCAACGAATATGGAAAATGATGGAGAAATTGAGAGGATTTTAAAGGCAGAAGCTGGACCATTAAGACATGAATTATCTGTTCTTAGATTAATGGGAGAAGTTCCTCAAATTAATTTTGTCAAAGATCGAAGTCACATTAAATCTTCTATAATTGATGCAATATTAAAGCATGCAGACTTCGGTGAAGATTTCATACCAACAGATACAACACTTTTTCTGAAAAATGAATATAAACTAGAAATGAAATTACCAGAATATCTTAAAGATAAAATCAGAGATCTAGATGTAGTTGAGGACGAACTTATAGAAGAACTGCCGCAAATGAGACATGATACTTTTGGCTTAGATCATGCTAAAATTATGAATAAAATTAATACAAGTATGAATAAGTCTAAACAAGCTTGGAGCATGTATGAGAATAGTGGCAAATGTGAGACATCTCAAATGGATGTAAAAGTGAGCAAACAATCAGCTATTGATGACATTGATAGGCTTACAAAGGAAGCAGAAATGAGAGAAAATTTTGTGAAATATCTAGAAAACAAGAATGTTGAGAAGAAATTTACTCCTGAAAGAAAAAGGTACAGGAACTTTTTGAAAGATGATCAGTCAAACCAACAGTTTGATGAATATACAGATCCAATACCTGATAGTGACTATATAGTTGAAGATGATGATTATAGAAAAAAATGATTTGTCTATAGTATTTTAATAAAAAGTAGTTTTTAATTTGGTGGAATCATGTGTGTTTCAGTTTTAGTTTTTATTTAAACTTTTTTACAAAGTTGTACTTAACAGATATATCCCCTAACACACAATAATGCGTCTGAGTTGGATGAAAAATGCCATCTTTATCTGTAATAAGAAAATAAGTCTCTGTTAAAGAACGTTTATAAATCTATCGATAAAAAGAAGTGGTAGTATAGCGTGTAATCAGTCGTAAATTATGTAAAATCACGGGTTTTTCATTCGAAAGATGGTGATAATTTGATTCATCATAATAAAGGGAGCATAATTAGTAATAGAAAGTAGTTAATAACACATACCAGTTTAATCGAAAAGTCCGAAGCCCATATCGTCATCAGATGCTTCTGATTCAGACTCCTTTTTCTTTTCTTCCTTCTTCTCTTCAGCAGCTGCTGGGGCACCAGCTGTTGGTGCGCTTGCAACGGCAGCTCCACCACCTGAAGGCATTGAACTGAGCTTCTCACGTCCTTGAGCAATCAATTCTTCTACGCTCTTGCCTTTAAGTTCATTAATGACTTTGTTCAGACGTTCATCGTCAACTTCAATACCAACGGATGATAAGATCTTTTGGAGATCTGCATTTGATGGAGCGGCATTTCCACCCAAAACTGCTAAGAGGTAAGCGCTAACGTAACGCATCTAGAATTAAACAAATAATTGTTGGAACATGAGTTTATTTTTATACACATACATAACCTTAAAATACAGTTATAAACTTTAACAATCATTTTTCAACAAATTAAATTAAAATTTCCAATGTAATTCATATGCATTATGATATGTATGTCCTTAATGTTAATTTACTTACATTTAAGTCTGTTTATTTGACACGAAACGTTGACAATTACCAAAATATGATAATCTATGTGTGATTCGCTTGATGTCGCAAAAAGAAAGAACGAAAAAACTTTGAAAATGAAGCAGGAAATTTTTTTAAACTTCTTTTTATCGATAAACAAAGTTTTGTGTCAATTTTGACGGACTGTCAACAACATTTTTATCACTTTATTTATCAAAATTGATCGATATTTATAGCCAGATGAGCTGAAATTTCAAAAATGGAATGTTCGTTGCTTTACTTCATTAATTAAAGCTTCTTATAATGTTATGCGTCAACAACAAGCTCGAGTTATGAACTTTTTTAAATGTATTTAACGATACTTTTGTATACTTTATTTGAACGAAAGTTGTATTTTGTTTTCTTCGAATTTACTTTTTAATTCTTTTTACAACTTTTAAGTAAATTAGTGCTATTTACAATGGATATTTATGTATGAAGATCAAATTAAGTGAGCAATGAATCCGTCTTCGCCAGTTGAAAAGATCTGGAAAGTTGATTGTAAGTACAATTTGAGGAATTTTATTTTCTTGTTGATTCAGTTTATTTATAAAATGTTGGCTCTTTAAATTCTCGGAATTTTCGGACATATGCTTAGGCATATAAAGACTGGATTAAGTTTTTCATAGATTGAACAGTCTTTTACATCGTTTTCATAACATCCAGTAAGCTAATTTAATAAATTAATATCTTCAGTAAAAGAACAACCATCATGAGTGACATCATTTTTGATTAAACTTAAGTTAGAAAAGGTTTTAAAGAATATATTTATGTGACAATCAAAGCGCAATTAATTTTGGTAGCATATCAATATGGGGCCGTTCACTTATTACGTTCGCATTTTAGGGGGGAGGGGGGGTTTGAAAAATTGTAGCAAAATGTAACATAGGGGGGGGGGGGGGTGTCAAGAAGTATGCAACGTTCAAAATATCGTCTGACTTTTAAAAAAAAGTTCACGAAAAAAATTTGTTTACAAATTTACACAAAAAACATTTTTTTTAAATTTTCCACCTTTTTAATGATTTACAAATGTCCAGATCTCTTTTGATAGCTAAGCAATACATAGTTTTTGTAACAAATCAATAGAAAACTGGTTTACAAGACTTTAAAATACAATCATAATTTGTGGAAATTTTCAAAATTAAATCAATCATAAGTTTAAAAATAAATCTCACTAAATCTGTCATTCATATGATGATTAACATGATCCCATCATTGTGATATTTACATTCAAAATTGATTGAATTTTCCAAAATTCGATCGGGCATAATATTTTTGAATTTTCTTCAAAAAAAAACAAATTTTTGCTTTATATCTCAATCCAATAATTCATAAGAATACTAATAGTATCAATCAAAACATGACCTATTTAGCTGTACAGTATTTTGATGTTTAAGAAAAAAAATACAAAAGAAATTTAACCGTCTTTTTAGAATAACAAATTATCAAAATAAAATAAATTATGAACGTTCAGGGGGGGGGGGGGGGGGTTGTGAGTTGTAACATATTGTAACAAGGGGGAGGGGGGGGGGGTGAAAAAAGTCGTTTTTTTTTCGTAACGTAATAAGTGAACGGCCCCTATGAGTTTTAAGTAATTATTTGCAATAACAAATGTTTAAGTGCCTTTAAAGTAATGAAATGAATATATATGATGAGAAAAGAAAATAAAAGTGATTAAAATAAAGTGAAGGAACAAAGTGAATAGTGCCGAGGCATTTGTTGTTGAAAATCTAGTGAAGAACATGATTTAGACTGAAATTCCCAAAACAGAAGTTTTTTATCGGCTCCAATAATTGTTTTATGCATTGTCACTGCTTGCGTGAGTATGACTAGTCGTATTGAATAGGTTGATGAAGATAGTGTACCTAGTATAAAAAATAATTTGCCTATTTGAGACATTTAAAAAGTTCAAAGATCAATTTTTTGTTCTTTAGGTGTTTTAAAATTTAAGATTTTAATTCAAAACTGCTCAAGGTTGCCACTTAGAAATACCTAGTTCTGTATACTCATCTTAATACTAAAAGTCACGATGAATGCAAAAGCTGCTTTTGCAATTTTTGGAGTTTTTGCGGGATGCTGCTCTAATGTAGTTTTTTTAGAACTACTGGTTAAGTAAATATCATAATTATTATTCTTCAACATTGATTTAAATAACAGTTTATTATTTTTCAGAGCTGACCCAGGCAGTGGAAATTTGATAACGTTTTTGCAATTTCTGTTTATTGCAATTCATGGCTTCATATTCACATCAAAATTTGGAACTGTTAAACCGAGAATAGGACTCAAAGACTATGGAATTTTAGTTGTGATGTTTTTCGTTTCAAGTGTCTGCAACAACTATGCATTTGATTTTAATATACCGATGCCACTTCATATGATTTTTAGAGCTGGTTCCCTAATTGCGAATATGATCATGGGAATTGTAATACTAAGGAAGCAATATGATTTTTCAAAATACTTATCTGTTTTTATGATAACAGCAGGAATAGTAACATGTACAATCGTATCTGGCACAAGTGTTGAAAGTACTCAAACAAATCCACATGCTGATAAAAGCGGTTTTAGTGTTTTCTTTTGGTGGACTTTGGGAATTTCTCTATTGACTGTTGCTTTATTTATTTCGGCACGAATGGGAATTTATCAGGAAGTGCTTTATAAACGATATGGAAAATATCCCGATGAAGCTTTATTCTACACTCATCTTATGCCTTTACCAGCATTCTTTATTCTGTATAGAAATATTTTTGAGCATACGGCTATTGCGACAAATTCTGAACCTTATACAGTTCCAGTTCTTGGCATTGAAATTCCGATATTATGGATGTATTTAATAGCAAATGTTCTTACACAGTATTTATGTATAAGCTCTGTTTATGTACTCACAACCGAATGTGCCAGTTTGACTGTTACACTTGTGGTCACATTAAGGAAATTCGTGTCTCTTATATTTTCAATAGTCTACTTTAGAAACCCTTTTACTATTTATCATTGGGTAGGAACACTATTAGTTTTTATAGGAACAGTAATATTCACAGAAATTGTGCCTAGAATTCAATCGTCCATGACAAAATCTACTTCACAAGCGGAACCACCTAAAAAGATTAAAGCTAAGAAGGAAGACTAATTACATAATTTATTAATCATGTATTCTTGAAGACATTTTGTTTGTAGTTCTTTTGTCCAAAAAAAAAAAAATTCCAATAAAAAATTTAAATTCGATTTCTAAAACATGACTTTTTCAATGTCAACTTCTTATAATTTTTGCACACTTAAGATAATGTGAACTTTAGTAACATTTACGCATCCATTTATTTTTTTAATCTTAATCATTACGTTTTCTCATTTCAGTGCTTCAACTTCAGCTGGCAGCACCCAAACCTAAACCTGTTCTCTGCTCATCATCAATTTCTGAACGTCCTAATTTTTACGGCCTAGAATATCATGGTGAGATAAATCACAAGAAGACCGAAGAGATTTTTGATTTAAGTGTCGATGGAGAATATTTGGTCAGAAAATCGCCGGGAAGTAAAGACTTTTATACTTTATCACTGCGATTCGATGGAAAAACCAAACATTATAAGATTTATTTCAATCCAAATTATGGTCATTTCTTGAAAGAAGATTTTAAGAGGTTTGAGACAATTGAAGATTTAGTGGCGGATGGTTTGGTCAACTTCTATCTGCAGAAACATGCTGCACCTATAATTCAACAAATGTTAGTTCAGACGAAGAACTCATTTCAGCAATCTCCTTATATGACTCTAAATAGACGAAAACTTCGTGCAATTTCAAATGAATTGAGAAGATCTTTAAAAGTACAAGAGATTATTGATAATAATTGCAATACAAATAATAGTAATTCGAATTTAAGCGATGAAAATCAGCCTCTGTTAATGCCTGATTTTGTTGAAACATCAACTTCAGCTATCAATAATAATAATTTTAATTTCATGTCACAAATCGAAGAACAAGAAAATGAACCGCTTCCAATGGTTTATGAAAAAATTCATCGATTTGTCATCAATAATTTTAAAGGAATAAATTTTTGCGAGTTTTGTGGCAATTTTTTATGGGGATTTACAGCTCAAGGGGTAAGATGCGATGACTGTGGATTTGTTGCACATAAAAAGTGTTCAGAATTAGTACCGGCAAAATGCGTACCGGATTTAAAAAAAATTCGTGGGATATTTGGAATTGATTTAACTACGATTGTTCAAGCACACAAAAGTCATATTCCATTTGTCATCACAAAATGTGTTCAGGAAGTTGAGAAACGTGGATTACAACAAGAAGGAATTTATAGAATATCAGGATTTGCTGATGAAATTGAAACATTGAAATTGGCACTTGACAAGGAAGGAGAAAAAACCGATATGTCTGAATCATCATATAACATAAATGTCATAACCGGTACTTTGAAATTATACCTTCGACTCTTACCTATTCCATTGATTACATTTCAAGCGTATCCTGTTTTCATTACGGCAACCAAGGAAAAATCTGAAACGGAAATTGTGCAAAAATTAAGAGATGCAGTAAAAACCCTTCCAACAGCACACTTGAACTGCTTTAAATACATCATAACGCATTTAAATCGGTAATTTAAAACAGTTTAGGCCATTGAAATACTGTAAATAATTAATTTAAAAACTTTAAATTATAGAGTTGCAGCACATCAAGCAGTTAACAAAATGACCGAGCATAATTTAGCAACAGTATTTGCGCCAACTCTTATTGCAACCCCACCACATCAATTGACTGATATGTCGCAGGAAATCTTTATACTGACAAACATGATCAAACACTGTCAGACTATTTTTACGCTAATTAAATGAAATCTGTCAATTCTAGGTTTAAAATTCAACAAAAGTTAATATTTTCGAGATTTTATAGAAAATTAATGTTTTTCATTGTCTATCGTACTCTTGTGATAAAATTCATGTGAAGAAGCAAAATTAATTTTTGATTCTTTTTAAGCATTCGAAAGGAAGATATAGATGCTTACAAACAAATCCGTACTCCACTATTTTTTTTTTTATTTCATTTTATCCTTTAAGATAATCACTATTAATTCCATAATACGACCTAAACTACATAAAATAATATTTTGGTAATTTTTAATACGAATTTACATCCGAATGTAAACTTATCGACCTATTAATCTGAGAATAATCTTATTGTGTAACAATGTATATCAATAATAAATTATGAAAATGATGTTTACAAATCAAATTTGACCTTGAATATCCTATTCCAGCCATAAAACTGTATGCATAAATTTAAATTTGCGAAAATTACTTTAATGATGATTTTAAATTGGGGTTCACACATGATGCAATTGAGTATACGAGAAAGAACAATTTCGTCTCAATTACCTACTTTTTTATTTTCAGACTTATTGTAATTTCAGTCTAGTTTTAAGCTTTAAGACGAACAGATATCAACTATCAGCAATGCTGAAGATCATAATTTTAAAGTGCTTAATATTTTCTGCAAATATACTAGTGAGTATATTGTATTCTTATAACATATTTCGAGGATCAAAAAATAACGAAAAATTTATTGATGTATCACGATTTAATTTAGGGATCAGTTACGGATGATAATATCTCAGAAAATAGTTATAATGGCACTGAAAACTTTTATACTGCAGCCGTTTTAGAATTCAATTCTCCAGGTAATAAATTTTCAAGTGCTGAGCTGACAGTTGATGCAAATTTAAAAGAATACATAAAATGGATTTATAATGTTAAGGAGTATAATGTCGATATTCTTGTCTTTCCGGAGGCAACATTGAACTATCACGGTAACATTTTAATTAATCGACATTTTATATTATGATTTTAATTAGCTAGTCTTTTGCAGGTCTATTGGGAGATGATTTGAAAAAATTTGCAATTCCATTGCCACAGGAAATATCAGATAATGAGTATGAATACAATTGTGATTACTCGTCAAATGCAGTAAGACATTTTTTTTTAAAAGTTTTTTCTCTGATGCTTTATCATGCTTTCATATTTCTCAATTTAAAAAATAGATTCTGAATGAATTGTCAGATGCAGTAGGAAATGTCAGTATTTACGTTTCAGTAAATATAGTTGAAATCGAGGAATGTAATGAAAGTACTTCGAATACAAACAATTTTTCTCTTTACAATACAAATATTGTTTTCGATAGATCTGGCTGCATAGTTTCAAGATATAGAAAGTTCAATTTATTCATTGAACCATCTATGAGTGTGCCTGAAGAGGCAGATTTACCAACATTTGAAACAGATTTTGGAGTAACATTCGGGCATTTCATTTGCTTTGATATTCTTTTCAAGTTCCCAGCATATGACTTAGTTTTATCAAATATTTCGCATTTTATTTATCCTTCTATGTGGTATTCAGAAGTTCCGTTTCTGACAAGTATTCAACTTCAACAAAATTATGCATACCGAAACAATATTGTCCTTTTATCATCTGGAGCCAATTTTCCTTCAAACTCAAAAACAGGAAGTGGGATCTTCATTGGTAAATATGGACCTGCAGATTCAATTATATCATATCGTAATGAAACAAAAATAATTGTTGCAAAAATTCCAAAAGATCTTAATGACGATTCGATAGCTCTTAATAATCCAAAAATTCAACCATACACTCCAATTGAGATGGACAGATTGAAAACATGGTCATTTATTCCTAAAAATATTTATCCTTTGCAAGAGAACTTTCACGTAAAAAATGGAGAAATTGAATGTGACTTCGCTCTTAACTTCACAAATTTATCATTGGATTATGATGAAAATGTAGGATATGTTTATAAACTTGCAGTTAATAATGGAAAACGTAATTTGGCTAACATCGTGAACACAGGTGAAATGTATTGCTCAATCATACCATGCTTAAATGATGATATAAAAACATGTGGCAATAAATTTAAAGATAGCCGAAATCTTGTCCCATCAACAATATTTCATTCAATAAGTATTACAATGACAGTATCAAATATTAATAAGGATGATTGTCTTATAATGCCAACATCATTAGATTTTTCAATACATCCTCTAAATGTAGCCAGTTTTCAATTTATTGAAGTCAATAAAAATGAATTTAAACTTGAAGCAAGCAAAGACATAGATGAAATTTTAACTTTTGGTATTTATGGACGAAATTTTTCAATGGACGAAAAGATTATGCACAAATCAGAATCTAACGAATTGTTACACATAGTAGAGTCCAATGAGTCTGAAAACAAAAAAATAAATGAAAACTTAGAAATTGTAAAGCTTCAAAATTATATAGAAAATGATGACAAGAATATTGGATGGAAGCTTACAATTTATGCTGGATTGATGGTTGTCCTTTGTATAATTGCAGCTATTTTAGTTTACAGAAGACTTCAACATCCTTACGAACATCCGTTAATCGTTATGAGGAGAAAAAGTGAAATGAATACTTCTTAAAATAAATTGAATTAAAGTGTCCAAAAGCTGTAAAACTCTTTAATAGCAAAAATAAAAACAATTTAATACAACAACTTATTTCATTATCATAATAAATAATGGATATGATAATATATGATTCTAAAATTATCAATTTCATTCAAAATACATCAAAAACTTCCACAATATTATTTTATTATATTCACACCGTTTTCACGTGTGAATCTATTGGTTTTGTTCAGATTGAAAAATATGTTTTTCGCATTTTGTGAGAAAACGAAGCAAAATTGGTTATAAAAGGTCCAAAAAAAAGTTTGTGCCTTAAATTTTCCAACATTTGCAAATAACAGATTTCAAATTATTTGCGGCATTGCTGAGAAAATCGCAAAATACACTTTCTGTAAGCATGCAAACAAGCATGCAAGCAAACAAGCATGCAAGCAAACAAGCAAACAAGCAAGTTAATCAGCAAGAAATCTCAATAACGAGACATCGTAGAGACATCTAGTTTTTTACAATTGATCCGTGCTGCTCTATAGAAGAGCTGTATTGTTTTTGGGCAAGGTAGGAACAGCCGTTGCTTCAGAAAAAGCAAAAAAACTTCATTTCTCACGAATTTTTAAAAACCAAAGTTTACTGTTATTTTTATAAAATTCAGCCATTAATGGAAAAATCAAACAAAAAACTTTTAAACATATGCTGAGCGTTCTAGTTTACAAACTTATGCTGTGCGATAGCACAACTGATCGATGAAGACTTTCTATGGTAAAAGTGTAGTATACAAACTTATCATGTGCGATAGCCCAGCTAATCGATCGAGATTTTCTATGGTAAGAGTATATCCTGCTTATGTTGTGACTCGTCTAGCTTTATATATTCAATCATATGCAGAGCGTAGCTCAGCCAGTTCGTCAAGATTTATACTTTCAAATTAATATTGAGCTAAGCTTGGTCTTTCCACAAGACCTTTGATGGTACGGTGTGAATATATCCACATTGGGTTTCTACCAGATACACTAGTTTTATTTGAAATTTTTAAGTTTAAATTGTTTTAAAAATGAAAACATTTAGGGACAAAATATATCTCTCAAATTATAGTATTCGATTACACAACATTATCTGATAACTTTATTTTTAATCTACATTTTTGCCAAATGTTTTCCATTTACCTTATTCTTATATCGTTGATATTAGCAGCACCTTATGAGGAAACTATTGCTGTAACAGTTTAAAACGACATCATTGATAAAAGGTTATATATTGATAATAATAAAAGATAATGATAAAAGAGATATCAAAAACATTTTTATTTTAAAGTTGGGATTTTAGGATTTCTGCTGATGAGAACATATAAGAAACTGAAAAAATTTTGAATTCAGAGTTAAAGATACCAACTTTTTTTTAGTAAAATAGCGTTAAGAACATTAAAAATACTTTAAAAGAAAAACAGAAATTTTTAATATTTTTCCAGCACTTTTAAAGACTTTTTAATTTTTTGTATCCGTCAGTATTTTAATGCTTAAAAAATAGTGATAATTCTCAATATTTTTTGATGCATCCTGCATAAATAAAGAGAAAACTGAATTGATTTCTATTTTTTAAGAAAATTTGAAGCAATATTTTAAAAGAAATTTAAAAACATCAATCTTTTCTTGAATTTAAATCTATTCCAGTATTTTATTAAAAGTTGAGAGTTTTATGACGTCGAATATTTTAGAAAATCGAATAGTTTCATGTGGTTACGAAATTTAACGATAGTGACTAATAAATATATGCACGAAAAATGTCATGTTGAACACATTTAATTTTTTTGGAGATACTAATAGGAATATATTTTAAGCTATGTTTTTGCTATTAATGAATCTTCTATGATAACATATTTCAAGGTTTTGCATTTAATTTTGACTGTTGCTAAAATTTATTCTCATGATTTTATTGAAGAATTTATTCTGGTTTCGGATGAAACATTATAGTTTGAAGAAGTTTAATACAGTGTTATTTTTTTGAAAACCCACAATATATTTGAATTCATTTTGGATAATTCTTATATATAAAAGCAAACACTCTTTAGATTATTGCCAGTCAAAATTTATATTTATTTCGAAGAAGTGCTATAAGAAAATGAAAGTTCTAGTAAGTTTAAAATGTTTGTCATACAAGTTTGAAGTTCATAAATAAATATATTACATAGATTTGAGTAAATAGTTTGAACATCTTAAATTCGAATAGAAGTGGAGATTATTAACATTTAATACAAATGCCTATGCATCTAATGTATCAGTTCGCTTACTTATATGATATATCAAAGAATTCAAAAAATTGTGTCAATTTTATCAAAAAATAAGTTGAATTTATGATTGTTGAACTTTCATTTGATTTAAATTAATTTACAAATAAATTATTATAAATATAATTAATTAAAAAAATCTGTATTTTTTTTATAGATTTTTGCTATTTGTCTCATGCTTGTATCGTTAATATTGGCAGCACCAGCACCGTATGACGAAACAGTTGCTGAAACAGTTGGAAGTAATGATGTAGCAAATAATGAAGGAGATGTTAAACAGTTCTTGCTGTTGAAGTTGGGATTATTAGGATTACTATTTGGCTAATATTATAAGAAAAATGGAAATTAATAAAATTAGAAATAGTAAAAGATAACAAAATTACATTAGGCATTCATTTTTTATTTGTTTTTCAGCAGAAGCTTGAATATTGAGATAACAAGAGAACTATAATAAAATTAAAGGTGAATATGTTCTGAAATAATGAGAGAGTTCTTTCGTTAAAATCAATTAATATTCATACTTAATGATATTTTTTTCGAATAAATAGGTATACTGCTTAAACATCTTATATTTTGAACTTATTTTTATAAGTACTCACTCGAGTTAACAGTTTGATTTTAAAAACAACTCAATCTTGTTAAAAACCAATGGCAATTCATGAAACTTTTCAAACTTGGTGTAACTCAGTTTTTAAAGAATTTACTTTTTTCATAAAATATGATAATTTTTTCCTCACATTTTATTTTATTTTTTATTGATGTGCGAAATGATTTTCGGTTTGTCCAAAAATTCCACATATGACAAAAGAATTCTTTTTAAACAGTATTCATGAGTAAATGTATTTTTTTTTATTTACTTAAAACTAATTTCTTAAATTAAAATTCTTTCAACCTTGCATTGTTTATAATAGAGAAACTTTTCTTCATTCTACGAAGATGTTAATTCTAAAATAAAAGTTTTTGGAAATAATAACTGAACCGAAAAAAAGACCGAATAACAGAACCGTATTATACTAAAACTCAAACCACTTATATTTCTCGGAGTATTTCTCACGATTTGAAAATTGGCAATAAAAGCTTAACAATTTAAAAATATAAACAAATTGATTCTTTCATTTAAAAAAATTTCTTTTCACAAATAGTATTTAAAATAAATCATAGTTGTTTTAAGAATAAATAACTTTATTCTAATAACATGTATAAAAGTTTAGCTTTTTTATATGAACAATACTAATCATCACTCTGAGCGTTGTAGAATGTTTTGTGGACGATATTCTAGCTTTGATGTCTAAGACTGAATAGTATGCAGATACTTTGACATATAGAGGTTTTTGGCTTGTATTTTTTCCAAATTGCAAATCAATGCAGTATTTTCATTTAAATACAAAAAACAACTCTTTGCTAATATTAATTCTGGTTCTATAAACATTCTTTTGGGTGTAGAAATTGCCATATAAATAGTGACACTCTTTAGATAAGTTTCAGTCAAAATTTATATTTCTACAAGGAAGTAATAATCAAAGATAATGAAAGTAATAGTAAGTTTAAAACGGTTTCATTATTAAATTCATTAATTCTTGAACACTAATAAGTGTCAAACAAAAAAGTTGAAAATCTTCTTATCCTGACGGTTGTATCTTAGTTGTTTGTTTATTGAATGAATAAATTTTCAATTGTGCAACAATGTACCAAGAATATTTGATGGAAATATATAACGTAACTATATAACACATTAACAATTTGAGTCCATTTCATTTTTTAACAACTTACTTGAATTTGCTTAAATTACCGAAATTAATTTCAGGCTTTATTATTAAATTATTAAATAATATTTTTAAAGGTTTGAAATTTAATTGAAAATCTTCACAAAAATTAATATTTTTTAAAATTTCTATTTTTTTTCTTTTTGTGTGAGAAACGTTTAACGTTTATCAATAATTTTTTTTTCCATATTCTAGAGTTTTGTAATTTGCTTTGTTCTAATATCATTGGTGTTGGCAGCTCCAACACCAAATGATGAAACAATTGCTGAAACTGTTGGAAGTGATGATGTTGCTAACAATGAAGGAGACACACAAAGTTTTCATCTATTAAGATTACTCGCCATTCCACTATTCATTCTTGGATAAAATTTTAAAGAAAAAAGTTAAAATCAGAAAATAAAAACAACAAAATTGTTTAATATTTTTGCTATTCTTTAAAAATATTTTCAAATTTCAGTTCAAAATTTTCAAAAAATATTAATAAATAAAACGTTTGAAAGTTTTAGGTATTCAAACTTGGATTTTTATCTTTTTGTTCAACTTGGACTGAATAGAGGGCTCCTTTGCATCTACACTCGATTAAATCTTATTTTGTTGAAAACGATTCTTAAGAATCTATTTTTTAATTCTGCTTAAACTCTGGTCTTTTGCTATTTTTTTTTTTGGTTTGTATTTCATTTTATTTGTAAGTACAAAATTAAATCATATTTGGCTACATAGTGCATTTTGTTCTTAAAAATTATTATTATTATTAGCATCACAATACGTCTATTTCTTGAATGATTTGCCCAGATTTGTCATGTATTAAGAATAGAAAATAAAAATTTAGACACATCATCATTAAATAAATCATGTAGACCACATTTGACTTTAGGATGTTTTTTAATAAATTACTTAGGAAGTAAATCTGCAAGCTATTTTTGCCATGAATGATTCTATTCTGTTAATAAATTTCAAGGTATTTTTTTTTATCTCAAAATTATAATTAATTCAAGTTGATATCCTACAGATTTTACACAGATTTTTATAGAATATATTCTTTATTTTATAAGTATGTTTTTATTCATAGATGGTTTGACATATTCATTTATATTCGATAGATATTTTTTTTTGAAATGCAAATCAATGCAATGTTGTTTGTCCAAAAACAAAAAAACCCACATTTTATTTAAATTTATTCTGTTTCTAGTTTTTTTTGTACATATCTAGAAATTTTCATTCATAAATATTGACTCACCTTAGATCAGTCTAGGCTAAATTCACATTTTGATAACAAAGTAATAACCAGAATAATGAAAGCTGTGGTGAGGATGACATGTTATTAATCATGTAATTTTATTTAAGTTAATAACAATAATTTTAATGTTAAAATATAATCAACCTTAACAGATTCATGTCAATCTGTTGTATCTGATGTCAATCTGTATAATTAACTTTAATAGATTCAGATCATTACAGTTCTCTTGATAATGTTTTTTTCCTGTTAGGTATTTAAACAAGTTTATTTTATTTTTATATATTTTCTGTCTTTCATTTTTTACACCATTCGAATGAGTGTTTATGAACAAGAACGTGCATACCAAATGTTTTAAGAACTGCAGTTGCTTTAAAAGTGGATAAGGTGAGCTTTCACAGATAATTGATTGAGATAAAGTCCGATAATCCGTCAGCTCCTTTATTATCTCCATTATCAGTACCAGAACCTAGAGTTGAAACAATTACTGCAAGATTGGATCCTAGAGTTGGAGGCAATGATGTCACTGACAGAAAAGGAGATGAAATTATTCTTTCAAGATAATTTGACAAAACATAATCCCGGGATTGAAAACCCTTCATAACACTATTTATACTTGGATAAAAAACCTATAAAATTAAGATAATAAAATAGGGATAATTTATAAAACCAAATTTGAGTATGATCATTATAAAAATCATTTGATTTATAAAAATTAAAAAGATATATAACAAAATCCGTTATATTTGTCAACATATCGTGTTTATGATTGCACGGATTATGTTGGATTTTCAGTTTATTTTTTAAAAAAAATTTCAAGTGTTAACGCCTTGTGATTAATGAATATTTTATGCCAAATTAAATTCTTATTAATGAACTCCATTTATAAAAAGTATGAATTTTAATATTTAAGTTTTATGTCTTGCATGAAGAGATAAAATTTTAATTTGTTGACTTTAATTATTGATTTGATGCACTAGATATCGAAATTACATGTTTTGATCTTTAGTAAAAGATACAGATTGATTTTTACAACAATTCACAGAGTATATCAAACAAAACTTGATGATTATTTAGGCAGCTATATTATTCAAAGGATAAATAGAAAAAATCTATGAATTTCCCACAAAAGTTTTTTTTTCTTTGCAAGCACGCATGGACACAAATAAAAATATTGGTAAAGTTTTTTAATTTGACTTTTATAATGTTGTTTTTACTGTTATACATATTTCTTTAAAACTCAAGTCATTGGATTTTTTTGTGTTTGAAAAACCCGGAATAAAATCAGAGATCGAAGCCGATTTTTTCGGTTTAACTCAATTTTTGATTTTTTTGATAGAAAAAAGTCATTTAACGCCCATTGCAGTATTTAAATTGAACTTTACATTTTTTACTATGATTCTGTGTAATATTTTGTCAGCATGTAGCTATAAAGCTCAGAATTTCAAGTTAGCCGATCGGCTTTTTTCTATAAAAAAAATCAAAAATTGAGTTGAGCCGAAAAAATCGGCTTCGATCTCTGAATAAAAAAATATGTAACTATATGAAATCTTTACATTCACTTGATGACTTGACAAATTCACCTATATTCAACTTAAAAACTACAGGTGTGGAGCCAGAGACAAATTTTAGTGATAATCGATCTTTTAGGAATTTTAAAAAAAAAAATTCTATTTCCGTCTCTGTAGAATTATTTTATGCCGAAACCAAATGAGTGCAATCATCTTTTGAATACGCAGGAATTTACAAAAAAAAACCCGCAATATATATTTAAACTCATTTTGGTTCTCAAATTTTATATATAAAGGCTTGCACTTTTTTGATTAGTGTCAGTCTGAATAAATATTTCTTTGAGAAACGACAGTCCGTTTAAATGAAAATTTTAGTAAGTTAAATATTCAAGCTTGATTCAAACAAATGAAATTTATGGATTTTAAGTACACATCATAAGAAAAACTTTGATAAGCACACGGATAAAGCAAATATATTAGGAAACAATTAACTGATTTTTTTTTTCCTATAGAGTATCGCAATTTGTTTCGTACTAATATCATTGATATTAGCAGCACCAGCACCGGAACCTAGTGACGAAACAATTACTGGAACAGTTGGAGGCAATGATGCAACTAACAACAAAGGAGATGAACAAAATTTTATTCTGTTAAAGTTATTATCTATACCACTATTTTTACTTGGATAGAATTGAAAAATGTTCACAAAAACAGAACACTATAATAAATAAATAAATAAACATAAACTTAATAATATGTGTATGTTGAACTGTAGTTGGAGCTGGTTAATTGCAATTTTACTGAAATTCTCAGGTTTTAAACGCATTTCTGATTTTAATAGATAATTTTTCTGGCCTTTCTGATTTTTTTACTTTTGAAAGTTTTTATTTGTTGTGCTTTGACATATTTCGTTCAGCTGTTAACTTCAATAAAACTATGTTACATAACATGTGATGAGATTTTTTGTAATATTTTTTAAGGTAGAACTCATTTTTCATTCAGTTTTTATGATGTTTACTTTTATCATAAAGTATGATAATTTTTTCTCACATTTTATATAATTTATCTAAATGTGCGAAATAACTTTCAGTTTGTCTTAAAATCTCATATGAAAGAATTAATTATTAAAACTGATATGAAAGAATTCTTTTGTATTTTTCGAAAAAATCTTTTATATATAAATTCTTACAACCTTGCCTTCCTCATCAGTAAGAAAATTTTCTTTATTCAACTAAGATATTAATTCCAAAATGAAAGTTTTTGTAAGTTATTTAAAAATTATTAGAACCGGAAAAAGGAAATTTAACTTTTTTTAAACTTATCTCGTTTAGGTTTTTGTTGTTTTTTTCATGCTTATTGCTCTGAGTTTTTGTGCACCATATGAAGAAACTATTTCCGAAGTTGTGGAAGGAAACGATGTTGTTCTGAAAAAGGAAGAATTGAAACAGATTCTCATTCTATTAAAACTTAAACCACTTCTATTTCTCGGATGATTTCAAATGATTAAAAAAAAAATCTTTAACTCGTCAACAAAGCTATCTTTCTTCTGGTTAAAACATATTTTTATATTTTTATAATTACATAAAAAGTAAATCTAAGTAAAACACGTTAATGAATTAACATTATTATAGACTATTAATAAAAACATTTTGCAGATTAAAGAGCATAATGTAGGTTGAAACAAAACGTGACCTTAAGTGTGAAGAGCATTTGACATATTGTGATGTTTTCACAATACGATCAAGGAGTATTCTTCAAAAATGCAAATATTGTTGAAGAAAATGGTCTTAAAATTTATTAAAAAGGACCTTAATAAAGATAATTAAGAAGAAGAAGAATATTGTTGAAAATAAATTAAAAATAATATTTTTTTAAATTTATTCTGGTTCTAGACTTCTGTTGTATAAATGGTAACATTACTTAGGCTTACTTCAGTTGAATTTAAGATATTGTCAAAGAAGTGACAGCCAGATAAAATGAAAGTTCTAGTAAGTTTTAATATTTTATCAAATTTCGATGAATAGTAAGAAATAATCTTTGTTTTAAAAGAAGTCCAGCTTGATTGAATTTTTGAATTAAATTTTTCTTTCAATAGAGTCTTATTATTTGCACAAAAAGTTGATAAACAATGTAAAAACAATCAAGTAAAAATGATTTTTATTCAATGTTAAATAACCATAAAATACCAATGCTTTCAGCTTATTGTTAAGAATGTCCGTAATTAACTTGAAAGCATTTGAAATAATAAACAAATCATCTTGTTTTAATAATAAAAATTTTCTTTTTATTTTTTTATTGTATGCTGTATGAATATTGAGAATAAAGAGAGTTTTGTTAAAGAGTATTTGCCAAAAAAAATTTAGAAGTTGAATATACTCTCAATTAACAAGAGAGTTTTTTATTTAAATTAATGAATATTCATATTAAATGATCTGAAAGAATTAAAACAATCTTTTAATGTTTATGCCTTTTTAGTCTTTCAGAGTAAAGACGTCTCACAACATCTTATATTGTGAACTGATTTTTCTACTGTTTAGAGATAACAATAGTATTTTAAGTGTAGTGAACTTCAAATAAATACTTATCTAATATTTAAAAAGTACACAATTAAATTAATTGACTGTCGCTATCTGTCTTAATTCTACTACTTAATAATAAGTTTTTAAATCCCAGTTGAGTTGCTGTTGAGTGATCTTTGTAAAATGTATAGCTTCAAAGTTTTTCCTCAGGCTTTAATTGCCATAATTGGTAAAGATTTAAAATTTCTTGGAACTTATGAAAATTTGGAATAAGCAACTTTAATTAATTAATAGCTAGTTTCGGAAGCTTCATTTTTGGAATCGCATTAGGTAAGATTAATTATCTTTTTTTAGTAAATTTTGTCGAGCACATGAGATTTCTATAAAAGTAGCTTAATTATAAAATATTGAAATGAAAAATCAACTTTTGTGAATGAAAAACTTTTTTTGAATAAATTAAAAATAAAACGCAAAAAGTTGAAAGAACTTATTTTAAAAAAAACTTTTCTTGAAAAACTGGTTCAATAAAAGCTGGTGGTTTGTTTTAGTTGTAACAAGAAATTTTTCAAAACTAATTTGACATTTTAAACGTTTTAGGCCAAAGAGAAGAAAAATACCTAAAGAAATCATTTATTAATTATTTTTTATTTTTATAAATTAGGATGGAGTGCTCCAGCAGGTCCAATGCTAATGGATAAACAAAATAATATTTCTATAGGGAAAAATGACATTGCATTTGCAGCCTCTATGATTTCAATGGGAGGTTTCCTTGCGAGCTTTACATCTGGATTAATTCGAAATCGTTTTGGAACAATAAAATCAATTGTAATATTTTCTTTTCCAAGTATAATAGGATGGCTCCTTTTAGTATTTTCCCAAAATTCTTGGATGGTAAGCAAAGTTTTGAGCATAATAAAAGACTTTAAATTAATGGTATGCATTAAAATTCCAGGTGATTTTGGGCAGATTTTTTATTGGATTTGCAACAGGTGGATACAGTTTTAATTGTCTTACATATATTGGTGAAATTTCATCCAAGCAGATTCGCGGCATATTGTTGACTTTTTATGAAATCAATGTTAAAGTTGGAGTTTTATTCGTTTATATCCTTGGAACTGTTACAAGTCTCTTAGTAATGAATATCATAATTTCAGTCATAGTAGTTCTTTATGCATTTGCTTTTGTTGGTCTTCCTGAAACTCCAATGTATCTTATGACAAAAGGGAATACTGAAGAAGCAATAAAATCGCTTAAAATCTTACGAGGAAGTAATTATAATTACGATAATGAACTGTCAGAGATTCAAGAAGAAATAAATGAGATTGAAGCAGCAAAGTTATCATTCGTACAGGAAATCAAAAAGAAAGCAACACGCAAGGCTTTCATTATGGTTGTAATATTATTTCTTTTTTTCCAAATGTCGGGTGAGTTTGATTGGCATTAAATTACATTATTTTTAATTAATCTTATATTTTTATACATTCTAGGTATTAATGCCGTACTATTTTATATGACAACAATTCTCATCGAGTCAGGTATTACTTTTGATCCTTTTATTGCTACCAGTCTTCTTGGTTTGATTCAGCTATTAGCTATCATATCATCGACTTTTTTTGTTGATCACTATGGAAGAAAAATTCTAATGATTTTGTCAAATATCACAATGATTTTTGGTTTAGTTGGTATGGGAGTGTATTTTTATATTAAGAATACTTCTGGTGTAAATGGATTTGAATTTCTTACTCTTGTTTTCCTTTGTATATTTTTGATTGGTTTCTCTTTTGGTGTTGGAAGTGTAACATTCGTTTTAGTTGGAGAACTTTTTTCATTAAACGCGAAAAAAGTCATTTCACCTTTGGCACAAGGGGTTAGTTTCTTAATGTCTTTCTTTGTTGCTACATTTTTTCCATCCATTGCAGATGCCATTGGCATTCAGTATACTTTCTTCATTTTTGCTACCTTTTGTCTCATGTCAACTGTTTATCTTATAATATTTTTACCCGAGACAAAAGGAAAGTCACTTTATGAAATTCAAAAACTTTTGACAAACGAAAAGTAACTTACTTTAACATATTTTGCGAAACATAATCTTTCAATATTTGCATTTACGAAACATTTCACACTAAAAGAAGAATAAAATATGAATAACTTTAGAGACATTGAGTACACAGTAATTATTCTAATAAAATTTTTATTACCCGCATGACCTAGGTTATTTTTTAATAAAATTCTATCATATCCATTTTTAAGATTAGAGAACAAAATGAGAATATTTAATTTTATAACCTGCGTTTTTTATCTAATCGAAATTACAATCTTATCACTAACATAGACTGTTCTTGCTCATTATTATATTTTGAAAAATATTTTCATTAATAAAACATGTAGACTTAAGTTCAAACCACTATTATTAAATAAAATAGGTAAAAAATATAATTTAGGTAAATTTTTCACTTTGACTTATTAGAATTTCAGCGAAAATTGGATTCTTTTTTGTGGAATTGCTTTGGCGTGGTCTTCAGTTTTTGGTCCACAAAAATTTCAAAACAATTGTTTTGAAGAGGATTTCTACAGGTGCAATTTTGACGAACACGCTTTGTTGGAAAATCAACAACTTAATTTTTTCTTAATTTAACTTTATAATTATGGATTAGACTCAAGTTTAATTAATTAAGCCAACTTACAATATTTACTGCATCTTCAATGACGTGTAAATTAGAAATTGAAATGTAACCCTTTAAGTCTTTAAGTATTAAACAGAAAGGCAGTAAAAAAGTCTGTCATTTACATTAATGACAAACAATGATTTTAAATTTTGGATACGAAAGAACGAATCCGGAATTATAGTTAGATCAATGTCGTTTGTTGCTGCAATTGGTGATTAAAATCATTGAATCATCAAAACGTTGATTATGGTTTCCGGATCAATTTCCTTATATTATGCAACTGCATTTTATGCATTACCAAAATCAAAAAAATATAATAAAATCGAAAATGCATGGATTATTCTACGTCGAGAGATTAAAAGTAAAAATTAAAAGCAAGAGTTTTAGACTTCTTGATAAAAAATAAGTCTGTAAGGAAAGTCATGATTATTATCATGTTTATTTTTTTCTGTTTTCAATTAGCCCGTGCAAATGCCGTAGTGTTTTATTCCCTTCAGATTTTTATCGATGCATAAATCCAAGTAGAACCGATTCTCGCATCACTTATAACTTCATCACATATATATATATTGGTGCATTCTATGCCGCATTTTATATCAGAAAAGATGGACAAAAAACAATGCTATGCGAAGGTACAAAATACGTAACTTGTTTCATCCTTAATGCATTAGGGTTTAACTTCCTAATGAAAGAGAAAAGCTCATCATTCATTGAAGATTTCAGATGGCTTCCCTTAATATCTTCGTGCATTTATCTTATTGCATTTGGTCTCGGAATTGCACCCGTAAGTACAATATTCTGCTTGATTGCAAGCACCAATGCAATTATGTAATGAAAATAATATTTTTTCTTCCATCTCTTAAGATTATTTACATATGACTCGATGAATTATTTACGTTGAATGCAAAGAAAACTATCACGCTATTGAGACAAGTAGTAAATCATATGCTTACTTTTCTTTGACGGTATTTCTATGAAATACAAAACACAGCACAGTGATATTATTACATTAACTTAAAATTCAAATTGAATTTATGATTATAGAAAATATTTAAATATATAGAATTCGAACTTAACTACTTATATTAATTTCTATATAAGGTTTCAAATGACAATGAAAAAAAAAATATTATTTGATAAAGCAATGTAATAATCATATGGCAAAAGTCTGTGCTGATTATAAAAATTCAAACATCCATTGTTCTTTTATTCACCCTTTTCTTTTGTTGAGTAAATTTTTTAAGCATGCTTGAGATTTGTATAATACTTGGAAAAACTAGTGATTTTTCAAAGACATTCAAATGCTGTTTTCAGGGTGAAAAAAGAATGAATGCATTTACACAATTCATTTTTTTTTATTCAACTCTTTGTGCATTTAAATCAATGCACAAAGCATCATAAAGTTTTTCCTTCATTCAATGATCTCAATTTGAAGCAAGTACTTTTCTTCTCCTCAAATTTAATTTACATGAAAACAAAACACATCGTTGTGCACAACACTTTTAAAAAGGAGAAAATAATAATAATGAACATGTTTTCATGTGAAAAGTGCAATTAATTTTCATAATATGAAGGTAGGAAAGTAAAAATCTTATCACTTTATGCTATTATGTAAAGATTTTTATAGCTAAAAGGATGTATTGTGTACTGTGTTTGCTAAAAGTAATCAACTGGAAAGTGGCTTTTTTATATGCTCTTTTAATATTTAAAAAAAGGTTTATGGTGTCAAAAGAAATGACATAAAAGCACTGAGAATAGGGTAGAAAATAATGAAAAATCACATTATCACAGCTTATGATATGTAGGGATGTGGACATTCTTTGCTGTTTACTCTTGTGATTAATTTTGACCGTAAAAACATTGTAGCAAACAGCAGTTTGCGGTTTTGATATGTTAACGGCTCTGTTTTTTGATAATTGAAAAAGTTATGACTCATTATAATTAATGAAGCATAAAATTGCGTGAAGCATTTTATAAATTACATTCAATTGTACTTTTATTTAAAGATAGAAAATTATTTTTACAAATCGAAACAAAATTTTATAAAAAATTTGTTGAAATAATATCAAATTTTTAAATTTATTTTACCAAAACCACCTATAAACCTATAAACTACTGAAAACTGAAAATTATTGAACGTTTAAATTTTCACCATGGTTCAATTAGTTTTAAATTGACTGCTAAAGTTCATCATTTGAGAATTTTACGTGAATGATAACTTTGGCAGTGTTTTGATTAATATCATAATAAATTTTATTTTCCTCCATTATTTTTCCCTTAAATCTTTATTTATTTAATATATTTAAATAAATTTTCGTCCCACTCGATATGTTTCGAAAAGGATTTTCTCGCAATTATTTCGGCAGTGAGTTGTACATAAGTTCCAAGAAGAGAAAAATAATGAGACAGAATTTTTTTTGGTGATTGTTGACGAAATCATTATCGCTTCCTTTTAAATGTTTTATTTCAATTTCTCTTTTATTATATTTAATGAGATTTTTTTCTCTGTTTTAATTTTCAAGAAATTGTCTGACTTCTCAATACTATGGGTCCTCGATTTGAATAAGATTTTTCTGGAACAAAACACCTACTCAAATCGAGGACCCCCAGTATTCGTTTGAACTCTATATTAAAAAATCAGAATTTATAGAGCTTTCAATTTTTCAAAAAGCTTTAGAAAAATTAATCGTTATATTAATTATCCCTGGATAGGGAATTTTCTTATCAATAATACACACAAAAAGCTTTCTAAATCGTTCCGTAAGCAGACAGAAGAATGAAATGTTGATTTATCTATACAAAATCGATCAGGTGATGCAATATTAATGATGATGCAAAGCTGTGAAGAGGCATAAGTATAATAAGAAAAATGAACTGATTTGCTCGCTTTTTCATCTTGAATGGAAATCAATTATTGACGTTTATTTCCACTTCTTAGCTTCATAAATTAATCAATTAAGTGAATGGAGCAATCACATAGATTACTTGATTGCCATGACTTTATCTTGACATTTAGTTCCTTAATATTGTATTTTATTCAAAAAGTAGATATAGATGATTTCCATCCCTCATTTTATTCAGTAGATCAATAAATAAATAGAAAAAATAAATATACTGAAAAAAGATACTCTCGAAGGAAATATTTATGGCTCGTGTAACTGATTGATTGACGGAAAGGAAAATTGAAGATCATTATTATTTAGAAGATAAATAGAAATTCAGAATAATTCATTTGCTAATGGATTTCATGAGATATACTTTTATTTTAGTTTATAAATTCTCCAATAACTATCAAAGTTTTTGAAAAAACAAAAATTCAATGAAAATTTTTTCATTTTGTTACAATTAAGTATTGCTGATTATATTAACCAACGCATGTTTTTAGCAAGTCAAAAATAACTTACTTATATTGTGAAATAAATTTTTAACAATTTTGTATAGTGGTAGTCAAATTGAGTCTTTTATTTACTTGAAATGTAAACCAGCTTTTGATGCAGTTAAAAAGATATCAAAATTCATAAAAAATTGTTTTATATAATTTGAAATATCACTTTGAAATATACCTAAAAAGTTTGAGAATAAGAAGAGGAATAAAAAGAAAATTAATAAGATGAATGAAAAACTTCAAAAGCTTCTTGAAAAAGTCTCGAAATAAATTTGAAAGGGATTTTATTCTTCTTTTTTTTTATGTCAAATTCATTTTTGTATGGAAAATCAAGATAATTAATTTTCTGTTTTCTTTATTTAGCAAAAATGGAATGAAAGGAAAAATAGACAAGATAAATAATTGAAACAGATTTTCTCTATCTATATTTGTTGACGTTACTTTGTGTTACATTCATGAAAAGGTTTTGTAATTAGTGATTGTTATCAGTGTAAATATACATAAGTCGATGAAGAAAGTAGACTGTTAAGCCTTTCAATGACCGTTCTAGAATCTTTTATTATACTGAAATCGTAATAGACAATCTGTACCTTTTTCATTTTATATCTTAAAAAAATTTTATTTACATCTTTCTTCATGACAGATTTTACTTGTTTTTTCCTTTCAATTCACTCCTGTTTCTCAAGAAAGCCACCTATTTTCATACATTGTTTTCAATCTTTATCAAAAAAATAACCATTCCATTCGTCTTTGTTATTTATTTTCTCTTTAAATTCCATTATATTTTAATTAACGACTTTTTGTCAATACTCAAAGAATCAAAAGAAAGAAATATGTTTTACAGAATGGTAAGTATTTTTGTGCAATTCGAGAGTGGAAAGTAAAACTAAAAATGAAAACTTTAGCAAGACTGAAATTGCAAAAGAAATAAAAGAAGAGGCATAATAGAAATTAAACTTTTTGTTTCTTGCCAATATTTGAAACTTTTTCAACGACTGGATTTTATTCTGTTCTTTATTTCTTAAACATTACTTTTTTCTCTTTTTCTTTTGTCTTTTCAGAGATAATTAAAATCGAAATATATATTGATTTTTTTGAGTTGTTTTTCAAGAATGAATAAACGAGACATTGAACATAATCAAGATAGATGGAAAACAATGAA